GATGAATAAATATTACTTTTTTTCTTACTACATAAAATGACCGTTTTAGAATGTGGATCCAAAGAAATTCTTAAAACATTTATCTGTTTAATGTTTTAAAGTGGGTTTACATGACGCGCATCCGGTCAGGATTGTTTTGGATGACTCAGCTTTTTAGCGGCGTAGTCATGCAGATAATTGATCCGGGGGCTGAAGCTCCATTCTGCCAAGTTGTTTGCTGCCTCTATGGATAAATAATTTAGAGGATGAAACCTTCCACCGCGTTACATCTGTCGAGTTGGCTGTTACAGAGTCCTAAAATAAGCTTTTTATTTATTTTTTCCTTTGCAGATGTTGAAATTTGATGCTCAGCAACTACAAAAAAGCAGGCTGGCTGCAGGGTTAAACGCAGGTTCTCCCCTGGTGCTTTTACAGGAGTGTGTAGTTTATTTACATTTTGAACTCTATATATATATATATATATATATATATATATATATATTTGCAGTCAATCAATTGATTAACACTTATTTATTACAACTGGTTGCTTTTTTAAATTTAACTTGGTTGAAATTTCTGGTAAATTTAGCCAGGGGCGCCACCAGTAATTTGGTGCCCAATAAAAGACAATTCATAACCCAAAAAATTCAGAAAGTCAAGTAGGGGTGTAAATCACGATTCAATTCAGTATCGATTTCTTGACCCAACGATTCGATTATTTTAGATACTCAAGAATACACCATCTTCTTTTTTCTCCTTCATGTCTGTCTTGTTTACCGTTTACGCGACTGTGTGTGTGCACGCGGAAAGAGGGTAGTGGCTAAAGGAAGCGAGGTAGGAGGGCAAAATAGGTTTAGCGCCACCGCAGCACAGGAGTCAGAATTACGTCCAGGAGCAAGTGGATAAAAAGAGACCAGAGGGAACAAAAACATGAATAGATACTCTTGCAGGCGTATTGATTCATTGGATCGTCTGCTGTTGGATCGATACAAAACGATTATCATTTACACCCCTAAAGTCAAGACAAATTAATGCAATAAAACACTGAAGTGAAACATCTACATGCTTGTTGTTAGCTCAGATAAAAAAAAAAAAAAAGTATTAAAATCACAGCTCTGACTTAAAAAAAATGCTTATGTGATGTTGAATGGATCGAGACATGATGTCCCGCATGTGCTCAATTGGATTCAGGTCTGGGGAACAGGCGGCCCAGTCCATAGCTTCATTGCCTTCATCTTACAGGAACTGCTGACTTTCTCCAGCCACATGAGGTCTAGCATTGTCCTGCATTAGGAGGAACCCAGGGCCAACGGCACCAGCATATGGTCTCAAAAGGGGTCTGAGGATTTCATCTCGGTACCTAATGACATTTCTTTTAGGGGTGTGCAAAATAATCGTCATGATGATGCATCGTGATTCTAATTTTCATGATCTACTGCATCGATTCTTGACGCCAAGTATCGATTATTAATTTAAAAAAACGAATAAAATTGCATGAATGGTTGGCGAACATCAGCCAAAAACAAGTGTAATACAACTTCCAGTCCAGTAGATGTTGCTGCGGATGTGTTGACGCACGCTGCCTTGTGTCACAAGCATTTCCGGCCGCGGGATACTGCGCCGAGGCATTCAAAAACAAAACATGGAGAAGAAAATATTGCAATGCATCGCAATAATTCAAGTATCGTGATGCATCATGATAGAATCGCATCGTGGCCTATGAATCGTGATTCGAATCGAATCGTGACTTCTTTGGCAATACCCACCCCTAATTTCTTTGGAGGGCTGTGTGGGCCTTCATAGAAATGCCACCCACACCATTAGACCCACTAACACACCGGTCAAGCAGAAAGATGTTGCAGGCAGCAGATCGCTCTCCACTGTGTATGCTGACTCTGTCACATGTGCCTAGTGTGAACCTGCTTGGCAATCCTGGTGTTCTCTGTGAAATGCCAAACATCCGGCATGGTGTTGGGTTGTGAGCATAACCCCATCTGTGGAAATGGGACCCTCATACCATCCTCATGGAGTCGGTTTATAACTGCTTGTGCAGACACATGCACATTGGTGGCCTGCTGAGGGTAATTTTGCAGGGCTATGGCAGTGCTCCTCCTGTTCCCCTCCACATCTCCTTGTGCACTGGCCTGTTTCCTGGTAGTGCCTCCTTCTTGCCGCAGATCTCATTGATGTGTCATCCTGGATAAGCTGCACTACCTGATCATTTGTGTGGGTTGTAGAGTCTGTTTCATGCTACCATGAGTTTGGAAACAACACTACCAAAAAGTGACCAAAACATCAGCCAGAAATTATAGGTACTGAGAAGTGGTTTGTGGCCTTCACCTGCGGAACTTCTCCTTTATTGAGTGTGCTTTGCTAATTGCTAATATTTACCACCTATTGTCTATTCAGTTTGCACATTAACATGGGAAATTGTCAGTCAGTTGCTTCCTAAGTTGACAATTTGATTTCAGAGAAGATTGATTTAATTGGAGTTATATTGTCTTGTTTACATGTTTAATTTTTACTTTTTTAGCAGCTTATATGTCTGGAGTTTATAGGATGACTCCTGAACTTGAATGGTGCTTCTAGTTGGAAGAAACATGCCGTCAAATTGGAGACTGACTGAAATAGGGCTGCAACAATTAATTTGATTAATCAGAATTAATCGAGTCTTAATTATAATTATCAACCAATTAACTAATTGATTATTCATTAACTGGAGCACACTATAAAACTAGCCATTATAAATTAGAAAAACCCACATCAGTATTGTACTAAAAATGTAAAAAAAACTTGCATTTAAGATAAAATAAAAAACTCTGTTCCAGAACTGGCTTCACCTGGTTTAAATTCTGTCTAAAACCTTTAAGGATGCTTTTTGCAATCTGATTATTAATCAATTAATTGAAGGATTAACGGATAAACAAAGTAATCATTAGTTTTAGTATTAGACTGAAAAGTTTTTTTTTTAAATGCCAGTGTTGATACAGATTATTGACATCAGTCTCATTCCTGAATATGTGCTGCTGATTTTTATTTTTTTAAATATTTTTATAATGATACTGCTTTTCTTCCTGCATAATAAAAATAATAAATGTTACACAAGTCTCCATTTAAACAAAACAGGAACGTTAATAGAAAAAAAAATAATTTACTAGTGGATAGGAATTGGTAGGCGGACTAACGCATTCACATATTGTCTGCTCTTTCAAGCTGGGCACCGTTTCATTCACAACACCTGTCCCATCAACCAGGAATCAGAATCAGAAATAATTTATTAATGCCAGGGTTAAATTACTTTCGTTACATTACTCCATCTGTAATAGAGAGACTATAGGACCAGTTTGATAGAACACAATCCATATAATATATATAATTAAGATCAGGCCCGAAATCTAGGTGTAGTGCTGGATTCAGACTTGAACCTCCAAAAGCATTTAAAGACAATTACAAGGTCTGCTTTCTATCACCTGAAGAACATTTCCAGGATTAAAGGACTAATGTCTCAGCATGATCTGGAAAAACTAATCCATGCGTTTATTTTTAGTCGAATTTATTACTGCAACAGTGTTTTCACAGGTCTGCCTAAAAAGTGGATCAGACAGCTGCAGCTGATCCAGAACGCTGCTGCCCGTGTCCTCACTAAGACTAAGAAAGTAGAGCACATCACCCCAGTTCTAAAGTCCTTCCACTGGCTCCCTGTATCTCAGAGAATAGACTTTAAAATACTTCTGTTAGTCTATAAATCTCTGAATGGCTTAGCACCTAAATACATCACAGACTTGCTATCAGTGTATCAACCCTCCAGACCACTCAGGTCTTCTGGCTCCAGCCTGCTCTACATACCTAGAACCAGAACTAAACATGGAGAAGCAGCATTTAGTTCCTATGCTCCACTTATCTGGAACAAACTTCCAGAAAACTGTAAAAGTGCGGAAAGCCTGAGTTCCTTTAAATCAAGACTAAAAACACATTTGTTTAGGATTGCCTTCCACTGTTCTAGTTAAACAGTTCAACTAAAACATCATTAGTATTTTCTTTAGTCAAACTGATTTTAATATTCTTTTTTTGTTTCTGCTTTTTTTTTTTTTTTTTTTTTCCTACTTGGCTTGATTCTGTTTTATTTTCCTATATTTTAATCATGTAAAGCACTTTGCATTGTCTTTGTACTGAATTGTGCCATACAAATAAATTAACCTTGCATTGCCTTAAGTGGTCCCCGCTCCATCTTAGTTTGGAGGACCTTGGCCTGGAAAACGTTGGAACACCCCTGATCTACTGGGTACGAATGGGGGTCCAATTGAGATCTATTTAAACATTTTTTCTTCTAGAAATGATTAAACATTAATTTAAAGAAAGTAATATGAGTAAAATACCAGCTAATGACTTCTACAGTGGGTAGAAACCCAGAAAACTCTGTCTGAATAAAAACAGTTCTTCTCTCTGATATACCAGAGTATTTGTGCCTAAAAATCGACTGACTGATATAGTGAAAGTCGTGACCATGAAGATATTGTTTGGACTCTTGCTTCAACTTTTAAGCTTTGCAAACATGAACATCTTTGACTCCTTAAGTTGAGAAATCTCCAGAAGAAGCAGCTAGTCTTTTTTTATTTTTTTCTGATAGCAGAATTTGACCCATTAGCCAGCAGTGTAGCTTGCTTGTTCATCCTCTGTGGGTCACAACATCATGAATAAGCTTTAGGAGTGAATGCTGAGATTGTTTCTTTTCATTTACTTGACACAAAGCATTTTTTACATCAATACCAGCGTGAGGCTAAGTGAGTCACCCTGCTGCAGACGCAATCGGCCTCCATTTTACACCTAACAACCCTACTCAGTGTGCTGGGGAGAATACATGCATTGTTGCTCCGAGTACAAAGACCATGTCGGCGTATGGGGGTGTATTGTAGCAGAGAGAGCTGCCGCATTTTACATGAATGTGTTTTGGTTTTATTATTCTGAATGTGTGTTCAGTTAATGATTGGCTTTAAGGGCATTTCTGTTATTTTTGTCTCTAGATAATTTCTGCTGATGGAGCTGCTCTGACATTGTTTGAAGCTGTAAGTGAAAGTGGGAAAGTCGTCGAACGTCCCGCCTCAGAACGTCGCACAGATGTTTTCATTGGGTCAGGAAAACTTCTCCTCCACTGCTTCCACCAAAGGACCAGTCCGATATGGAGAGCTCATCGTGCTGGGGTAAGAGGTTTGATGCTAATATGGGGCTGTTCATAAACTCCAATTATAGGCATAAAAATCAGGAAACATGTGTCCCAATTATGCAAACTGGCACCTCTCGGATCATTATCTATACACTGGAAAAAGGATAAAAAAATAAGTAGAAATGTCTTAAATTAAGTGTATTTACGCTTAATTTGAGTAGGTAAATGAGATAGTTTGCCAGTGGAATGAGTATTTTTGCTCTTAAAATAAGAAAATTAGATAAAATGCACCTCAAATAAGACAATGCAATTGTGTTTTCTTATTGTAAGTGTAAATTGTATTGTTCAACTGGCAAAATCTCTCTTTTACCTACTAAATCCAAGAACAAATACACTTATTTTAAGAAAAAACAGCTTATCTAGATTTCGATTTTTTTCCAGTGTAACTAATACGTTAGCGGTGATTTAATGAATTTAGTGTAATTATGTAAAAAAAAAAAAAAATCATAATAATTTTTCATTGCAATCATGGAGTCTGGGAGCGGCCATTTTTGCCCAAATATAGTAGCCCCTCCCTCCTGCCATCTTCCGGCAGTGATGTCACGGTGCGGTAAGCGTAGCGCCATTCTCCCCGCTTTCCAAGCTAAATCAATGGGAACTACTAGACACATCTGCAATCAACAACAATTATTCAAGATTTCCAGAGGACTTCACCATTGAAATTCACCAGAGCTATAGTGAAACTGACAAATGCCCAAGTGCATGGCAGCTGGATGCTGGAATACATCGGGTACCTTTGCGATTCCTGATCCTCCACGGACGGGTTGGTCGTTGGATTGCCAACTTGAGGAGGGAGGGGATTGGTCTGGGGGTTTTGTCTTTATGCACTAGTCTCTGTTTAAGGGTATCGTTAGGTTTGAAATGTACTGGGATTTTATGTTTGGAGAAAATCCTCTTGAGGACTCTTGGTAACTCATTTCTAAATCAATTATTGAACCATAGGATTCGCAAAAATGTGTTTAGATTTATCAAGTTTAGATTGTTTAGTTTTTGCCTAATGCTAGATTTAATGTTGGGAAAATAAGTTGTCAATGTGGTTTTTAAAACTTTAAAATAGAAATCTGATGTTCTGGTTATCAACCAGTTCCGCTCAAACCTAATCTTTCTTAGATATGTTTGGGAGACAAGAGCATCCTGCAGACAAAAAAAGCTGTGTTGACACGCAGTGTTTATGAAAACACTCATCTAATCATAACTGGCAGGACCGGGTTTTAGCTCGGCCCTCCGTTTATTGTTCAGCTGCTGCATAACTCGGATTAAATCCAGCTAAGTGTTGGGAAACTCGACCACAGGGAAGAATTTCAGCTGACTTCCTGACTCTGAGCCGTTCGCCGCGGACGCAAGAGGCAGCCTGTGGTGCAAGCAGGTCGGGAAAGTCGGGGCTGCTGCGGCGTCGGCCCTTTTGTTTGCTTTTGCATCGTGGTGTCCACATATGAAATTAAACAGTCTGGCAGGCTGTGCAACCCGGCAATTATTCTGCTCATAAGGCTCCGTTTTAAAGAGCCATATAGTTTATGCAAACAGAAGCTGAGTATTGTGTCATGCGTTGGAGCCACATTAGAAAGGAGGCGGGGGGGGACCTTGTCTTAGAAAGGAGGGAGGTGTTTCTGGATCTGAATTGCAGGAAGTGTGCATTATGCATTAAAAGATTGCTTCATTCAACTCCTGTTTACTTGACCTGCGGCTAAAAGTTCGGTTCCGACGATAACTTCTGACTAAACAGGCTTTTTAATGAGAGCCTCCATCATCCCAGATGTCATGGAGTTCTTCATCACGGTAATCTTCTTCATGGTGTTAAACCAACTAATTAAAGTTGGTTTTGTTTGGTGTTTGGATGGTTTTAGTGGTCAGATTACGAATGAGGATAGAAAGTATTTATTTCTTCCCCTCCTAAAGCAACAGAGTGGGGATGTTTCTGACTTAACCATGAAGAAATTGCTTCTAAAAGATCAAAAAAAGCAGCAGAAAGAAACGGATATGCTGACAACAGTTTTAACTATAAGTTTCGGTTAGGTGGAGATTTTTATTTTTTTTTGCAGACTTTATATTTTCACATTATTTTCCAGTCTAGGGCTGAACATTTTTGGATTAATTGTGATGAATCGATTATTGAAATAATAACCCACTAATTTTGTAATCTGTTAATTGTTAAATGGAATATAGAGACTCTAAAACATTCCTTAAGTCGACAGAGAAACCCGCTTAGAGCAGTAATTATATCAACATTCTGAAAACCTATATAAACATTTTGAATTTAAGATAAAAAAAAAAAGTTTTCTTCTCTCAATATGCTCATAATTTGTTTTAGTTTCACCTGGTTTAACTTTGTTAAAAAAAACAATCTTCTTTAAGGAATCTTTCGCTATCTGATTATTAATTGAAAAAATAATCGACAGATTCATCGATTTGCAAAATAACCATCAGTTGCAGCCCTAATCCAATCCTCTGTCCAGATTTAAGTTTGCTTCTGACACCAACGCATTCATGGGAAGCCTCTGCAACAGATGTGTTCTCAAGGTTAAATTTAAAATAAAAAAAAATTGACAAATATAACCTTAAAAATCATCTCAACCGATACCAGAACCTTACTTCAGCTGAAAGATGGTGATTAAAATCAAACCTGATGGAGATGGGTGAGGACTGTGTGTGGTTTGGGGTTATAAAACATGGAGAGCAATGAAGGGGGTGATAGTTTTGTGAGAGATCAGTTTTATCAGGATTTCTCTCCATTGCTTCGTCTTCATTTTGTCTGCGCTGACGCAGGCAGTCTGCTCTGGCTGCTCCTTCCTTCCACATGCGGCGCCTCTGATCAGAACCATCAGTACAGTTGTGCTTGAAAGTTTTCACCCTTACATTAGAGACAGAAAGAAATAGGCCGCTATTAAAATAAATAGAAATATATATGAAATTAATTATACATTAAAAATGGAAATCATAATGATTTAGAGTAGCCTTTCTTATCTGTCTAGCATGGTGGATGATGCGTGATACTGCGGGCCTGTTTCTCTTCCAATGAAATACTGGGAGTTAAAATGAAATTGTGGCATCTAACGCTAATTTAAATATAGAATAGAAAGACTTTTTCTGGCCAAAATGTTTTGTGTTTTCTTCTTGCATCATTTTCAGCTGATAAATACCAGTTTGTAAAGGCTCTGTTATAGGGCTGCAACTAACGATTATTTTAAAAATCGATGAATCGGCCGATTATTTTTTCGATTAATCGATGAATCGGACAAAAAATATTTTTTATATTTTATACTCTTTATTCCAAAATAAACATTTTAGACAGAACAAACAAGCACACAAGTACAGGTTGCTCATTAACTGTACTGGTGTAATATGAAAAATAAATGTTTGTGTTAAAACTACGCAAACTTACATGAGAAATGTAGCTGTACATCCACAAAATATAGGCTTCTTTGTTTCATAAAGTGCAAAAAAATACTTTTTTTTTTTTTTTAAAGCCCCTAAGGGGTTCAAACAATAGGCCCCCCCATTTCAACAAATGAGTTTTTTTTAGACTAGAAGAGTTCTGCCTTTTAAGACAGGAAAGTATAGCAGTTAAAGTTGCTACTTGAGAAAATACTGAACCATAGAGATAAAAATAGCCCTGTGATTCAAATTATAAATTGTATTTGGAATAAAAATGAGAGAACTAGGGGTGCTAAAAAACACATCCTCCAAAGACAGATATTTACATGGGAATGTGGCAGATAATTAATTGACATATTACTGATCTTACTGGATTTTATTCTGCTTTACTTCCATAAATTGCAGGATCTTCTTTACTTTATCTTTGCCAAAAGATTTAAACTTTAAAAGCCTTGCCCTCATAATTTGCAAGTTAATTTATTTATAAAGTAAATGTAAACGCTGCTTAAGCTAATTCAAATGAAATTAAAAGTAAAATAAGTAGCCAACCTTATCCCTGTCTGTAACCTACTAACACGGTAAGGAAAGCATCAGATGAGCTACCTGAGAAACTAACGTTACGTTTCCCCACTTTAAAACCAAACAAACATGGTGCTTCCGTGCCATGTTAATTTGTTTTGACAAAAGTTGCATGTTATCACTTTTTTCGCTTTACAAAGCGCAGGCTATTTTAATTATTGTGATCAATTTGCGCCGTCCATCCCGGTGCATGCGCGCTTCATTTGCAGTCTGGACGCTGAGGCTCTGACTGCAGCGCTGAGAGGGACTCCTGCGGGAGAATGGGGCTGGGATGGGGGAGGCGCCCCACGGCAGAGTAAGAACGATACATGCTTTCACGTAAGAGTCTCCAAAAGCCGCCAGTGACACCGTAAAAAGTCGCCAGATTTGTCGCTAGTCGCTTTTTTGAAAAATAGTCGCTGGAGGGGTCTGAAAAGTTGCTGAGTTGGCAACACTGCACCAGCGCCGCTGGCTCGCTCTGCTGTATTTTTTTTTTCCCCCCGCTTCAGTCAAGTGGATGTGATGACGGCGCGGCGGATGACGCATTAATCGCGCGACACAACTAATCGATGATGAAATTCGTTGCCAACGCTTTTAAAAGTCGATTTTTATCGATTTTATCGATTCGTTGTTGCAGCCCTACTCTGTTAAAAGGAAAAAAAAAAAGTATTACGATTGTAAATCAATTTTTATATTTTTAAAGAACCAAAGAGGAGTTTTTTATTTTGTTGTTTTAATCATTAATCATTGTTAATTTAATACTAATATCTATATATTGCGTAACTACAAAATCAGATAAAATATATTTGCATGTTAATTTCTTTTTAAAACAAAAATCCTATTTGAGATCAGTTTGGGAATAAAATTTGCTTTAAATCTTGAGAATTAGAATCTAATTGATTTTAGAAATTTGAATTGATTGTTCAATCACCACCTTTTATCGCCTCTAATTGCCACTATCCTTTTAAGTATTACCATAAAACATTATAAAACACACCAATACTGCTGTAAAAGTTAAAATATTAATCTACTGGTTTTATTTTTGATATATATATATATACCCCATCAGATAGCGTTCCCCCATGATGTCATTTATGTTGAGATGCAATAAATTCAAAACTCAACACACCGCGAGAAGTTGGGGGCCGGGTGATGAGGGTTACGGGGCCGAGAAACGCAAAAGTAACGCGATAGTTACTTTTACTACAAACTAGTTACTTTTATTGTGGAGTAACTCAGTTTGTTTTTGGGAGAAGTAACTAGTAACTATAACTAATTACTTTTTCAATGTAACGTGCCCAACACTGCGAATAAACCAAATCTGAGAAACGGGAATGATACCAAAATACTGAGCAAGTCGACTCTGTACACCTGAACAGACGCGGCTCCATTGGTCGAGGAAATCAATGAAAGCTCTCCATCTTTTTTCACGATGAGCTGACGGGCTCCTGTTCTCTTTGGTTCCAGGTGTAACGGCTCTTTGCCGTCTGAGAAGGGGAGGAGAAAAAGCCGCTTTTCTCTGTGTCGCAGAAACAAGGCGAATGGAGTGAAACCCAGCACCGTTCACACATCCTGCACGCCTCAGGCCGCCAAGGTGACAGTTCACACACGTTATTTGCATCTCACTGATTAAAGGCCCTGATACTAACATAACTATGGAAATGAGAGAGCACACCTCCACTCTTTCTTTTCTCATCCTCATGTCTCCAGCAAAATTACAACTTCTAATTTCCCTTCAGGATTTTTGAACTGAATGCTTTTAAAGTTTTTTGACGAATCCTTTAAGCTTTAGATGTTTGTAACCGCTCCTGTTTTTCTTAAAGGCTGTCAGCAACAAGGAGCAGCACAGCATATCCTACACGCTGTCTAGGGCGCAGACCGTAGTGGTGGAGTACACCCATGACAGCGACACAGACATGTTTCAGGTGGGTAGCGTCGATTTTTCTCCTCCCTACTGAGGTTTTCTGATGGGGGGGGGTTATATCAGCTCTGAGATTCAATAAAGACCGATTTCTAGATGGCAAAGCTTTTCTCTGGTTTGATGTTTTTCTTAACTTGTACCCCATTTACACTACCCTTGAAAAACTGTGCCGAGACCGGTCCGAGCTCAGTAACTGAGATAACTTATCGTGTGTAAATGGAAAGCAAACTGAACCGAACCGAGCTAGACACAACTGGACCGAGCTAACTGCAGACCAGTTCCAGAGGTGGGCCTGGCTCGGTTCTCTGATAACAAGAGCGCATGAGCAGAACGCGTTATCTCCGTCTGGCTGCACATCCTGATTCACACTCCATTCCAGTAGTTGGCGGTAATGCCCCTCCGGAATTTGCTTGCCAACCAACACAAAACAGAAGACGAATAACTATAAACAACAATCGAAATCTTCTCCACGCAACATTTTAAATAATAGCGCCGAAGTACAGCAATAATAATCAAGCATAACTTTCTGAATGTGACGGGCGCCACCATTTTGATTTGCTTTATTCCCTCCTTCTTCGTCTTCTTCTTCTTGTGTTTTATAGCGGTTGGCGAACAAAAAATAACTGACTGTTACTAAGGAAATATGCAGCGGGATTATTACTGTAAAGGTGAACCTGAAGGGTGCTGAAGACTAAGAAACTGAACCAGAGCAGTCTTAAAGGAATAGTACACCCAAAACATGATTAGCCTTCATTTTCTACTCACCCCCATGCTGAACAACACTCTGGAGTACTTTTTTGATATCGCAAATGCATCTGGAGATCTGGGAGGCTTCTTGCTGTCTGCTGACATTCAAATAATGGAGGTCTATGGCGCCCGAGGCAGAAAGGTCCATAAAAGTCCACAAAAAACGTGTCAATATTCCTCCATACTGCTCGTCCAATGTATTCCAAGTGTCCTGAGTGGGTAGCGTCCATAATTTACTCGAAACAAAGTCATTTATAATGTTTTTAGAGCATAAACAGTAGTTTATAGGATTTCCTAAAAGCGCGTTCACGAGTCTACGGAAACCGCGGCAGACCAAACCAGACGAAAGTGCGCATTCAGCTCGACAAAGAACTCATGCTCTTCCTCAACACTGAAGTCCTCAGACATTTTTCTTTCGTTGTTTCTTTCTTTGCACAGGTAAACAGCACATTTCTTCTTCTACGCTTGCATTATCGGCAGAGCAGACGCTGAATGCGCACTTTCATCTGGTTTGGTCTGCCGCGGTTTCCGTAGACTCGTGAACGCGCTTTCAGGAAATCCTATACACTACTGTTTATGCTCTAAAAACATTCTAAATGACTTAGTTTCAAGTAAATTATGGACGCTACCCACTCAGGACACTTGGAATACATTGGACGAGCAGTATGGAGGAATATTGACACGTTTTTTGTGGACTTTTATGGACCTTTCTGCCTCGGGCGCCATAGACCTCCATTATTTGAATGTCAGCAGACAGCAAGAAGCCTCCCAGATCTCCAGATGCATTTGAGATGTCAAAAAAGTACTCCAGAGTGTTGTTCAGCATGGGGGTGAGTAGAAAATGAAGGCTAATCATGTTTTGGGTGTACTATTCCTTTAAAGAACTTTACCTCTTTTCATGACAAGCAGCCAATGAGGTACGTTTAGTGTGGCTTATCAGAACTAAAGCTGGTTGGACATGTAGTCCTCATATTTTCCTTTACATTTTGGTGAAATGTATTTTCATGTCCTCTCTGTTCACTTAAAGTTCTTACGGCATCCTGAGGCACGATGTCCCATGATGTTATGGTATGAGGAGGCTGTCTCTGCATGGGCTTCAATGAATAAACGCCCGTTTCAAAGAATCGACCTGTGTCTGTGGTGCGTGAAGAGAGCTACAGGGTAGCTCCGCCCAGCGCGAATCAAACCCACTTCACCACCACGCAGCTACAGCAGCAAAGACGCTTCAGCCGAGCATCAGAACTAAACTTGTACAAGCATCAAAAAAGAAGCAGCACATGCATTTTTGCTGCTCTTGCTTCTTTAGGTGTGAACATAGCATAATAGTGGCTAGCTTCCAGCCATGGCGTCCTGCGCGAGCATTGGGGGGTCAATTCGTTTATGTGTCAGGGTATGCGTACATAGCAGACGACAAATCATCTACAACGGACCGTCTTTTGTGATTGGTTGGGGTTATCCATTGATTTCTCACTGTAGCAGGGAGCATTTATTTTAGTTTCCCTTCCAGACCTTCTATTTCACGGTTTCCTAAGCGGCTGTGGGGAGATCTTTAAGCCACATGGTAAAAAATGCGTCAGAAAAGATTTATTGCACCTTTAAGGCATTCAGTTTAGATGAGTACATCTAAAACATGCAGCGCAGTGTGTCCTGAGAACCAGGGTTGGATAAAATAAAGGAAAATACTGGTTCAGATCCTGTGTGACTGTGGCCCAGTCAAAGTTTAAACCTAGTTTAACTTGAGTCTTGAGAATGGCTCTTTGCAGACCTTTCTATGCTCTGGACTGAGCTTGGTAAAGCTGGTAGAGACACATTAAAGAGCAGCGATTGTGATGGACTACTGCTTGTAACAAAAAAGACACCAGTGTCGAGGGTGTTGGACTATCTTCAGTAGGCAGTAGATATCGAACATAAAAAGATGAAACGGAGAGGAATAATCTCATGTTCTTTCTAAATCTTCCCGTTGTGTTTCCATACCTGGTTACAGATTGGCCGTTCCACAGAGAGCCCCATCGACTTTGTGGTCACCGACACGGTTCCTGCTGGCCAGAGCGTCGCCGATGGTCAGACCATTCAGAGCACCATCTCCCGCTTCGCCTGTCGCATCATCTGCCAAAGGCACCCGCCTTACTCTGCGCGAATCTACGCCGCCGGCTTCGACTCCTCCAAAAACATCTTCCTCGGGGTAGGATTCACCAGCCTCTATAGCTAGATCTATTTAGTGCAAAGATTTAGTAACTCTGTTGTTCTTCATTGAGTTTTCAAGAATGGCATGCTGATCTCTGTGCAGGAGAAGGCAGCCAAATGGAGAATGCAAGATGGTCAGATGGACGGACTGACCACAAACGGCGTTCTGGTGATGCATCCGCAGCAGGGTTTCACCAAGGGCTCCAGACCTGGTGTGTGGAGGGAAATCTCTGTCTGCGGAAACGTCTTCATGCTGCGAGAAACCAGGTCTGCTCAGCAGAGAGGCAAAATGGTGGGCAACTTTTTTTTTTACATGATCTGATTTTATTTGCTTCTTGATTTACAGAATTATTCAGTAAATTAGAAAACAACTGAATGGATGCTTTTTTTTTTCAGTTACACAGTACTAATGGTTTAATTTCGCACATTTTAAAACCGTTATTTTTGTCAATTATGATGATTTTCTGCCTACAGCAAAAACACATTTAGGATTAAAATACTGCATAAGACCTGAACAGAAACATATTTCCAGGACTGTCAACTCGCTCATTATCGGTTATTTTTCACGCTAAAAAATAACAAAAACTTAACTCCATTCCACTTATTTACATCAAAGAAATACCATGCTGATAAAAATCCAGTCCACGTTTTCAACACAAGAATAGCGGAGGAACCAGAGGGATGTTCTCATTCTAGTATTATTTATTATGTATTACTTATTCATTTATCTTTATTTTGGTCCATTGAATATGTTTAAAAACTTCATATCCACATTTTCCAAAATGAGACATCCAGAGAAGTCCTGTCTTTATAGAATCTACAGCCTCCTAGAAGGTCTGACTTGTTTAGCTGTTTTGTCAATTAAGGTAATGAGTTCCATCCATCCATCCATCTTCCTCCGCTTATCCGGGGTCGGGTCGTGGGGGCAGCAGCTTAAGAAGGGAGGCCCAGACTTCCCTCTCCCCAGCCACTTCTTCCAGCTCTTCAGTAGGAACCCCAAGGCGTTCCCAGGCCAGCCGAGAAACATAGTCTCTCCAGCGTGTCCTGGGTCTTCCCCGGGGCCTCCCCCCGGTGGGACGTGCCCGGAACACCTCACCAGGGACGCGTCCAGGAGGCATCCTAAACAGATGCCCAAGCCACCTCAACTGGCTCCTCTCGACGTGGAGGAGCAGCGGCTCTACTCCGAGTCCCTCCCGGATGACCGAGCTTCTCACCCTATCTCTAAGGGAGAGCCCAGCCACCCTACGGAGGAAACCCATTTCGGCCGCTTGTATCCGCGATCTCGTTCTTTCGGTCATGACCCAGAGTTCATGACCATAGATGAGGGTAGGAACGTAGATCGACCGGTAAATCGAGAGCTTCGCTTTTTGACTCAGCTCTCTCTTCACCACGACGGACCGGTACAGCGCCCGCTTCATGGCAGACGCTGCACCAATCCGCCTGTCGACCTCCCGCTCCCTTCTTCCCTCATTCGTGAACAAGATCCCAAGATACTTAAACTCCTCCACTTGGGGCAGGACACCCCCCCTGACCCGGAGAAGGCACTCTACCCTTTTCCGGCTCAAGACCATGGCCTCGGATTTGGAGGCACTGATCCCCATCCCGGCCGCTTCACACTCGGCTGCGAACCGATCCAGCGAGAGCTGCAGATCACGACCTGATGAAGCCAATAGGACCACATCATCTGCAAAAAGCAGAGACGCAATCCTAAGGCCACCAAAACGGATCGCCTCAACACCTTGGCTGCGCCTAGAAATTCTGTCCATGAAGGTAATGAACAGAATCGGTGACAAAGGGCAGCCCTGGCGGAGTCCAACTCTCACTGGAAACGAGCCCGACTTACTGCCGGCAATGCGGACCAGACTCTGACACCGGTCATACAGGGACCTGACAGCCCGTATCAAAGGGTTAAGCTTTTTAATCCTTAGCCTATTACCAGATATTCATACACAGTGTGCTTTGCACGTGATTCGATTGCATCGGTGCCTGTATTAGTGCCAGTAATAACTTATTGGTTCCCCATTGTTTATTTTACTTGAACTGTATAGAATAATAACTAAACAAAGTTGTGAAATTCTTAGTTTACAGTATATTTAAGATGCAAGTATTTTAGTAGGGCCCATTCTTCTTTAGTTAAAGGGGTCATAGAACGATTCTATAGGGTATCTGGTCCTTCAGGTCTCTGAATAGGGTGTGTAACATTGGTTGGGCTGAAAATGGGATATTTGCTGTTCTATGAGCCCTAATGCAGCCTGGTTAAAAGCCCTAGAATGAAACAACAGTTTTTTTAGATGAGCTGATTGGTTGGTTTACAACGAGTGAAGCTGCTGAGCAAAGATGCATCATAGCAACAAGCGCTCACTCAGGCCCCGTCCACACGAAGTCAAACCCTGGCCTAAACGCACAAATTTTTCCCCAAACCAGCCTCTCATCCATATGAAGCCGGCGTTTCGGGGGTCTGTAAACGACCTTTTTTTTATTCAGCCTTCAGAGTGGGAAGATTTTGAAACACCGTTTTCGCGTTTCCATCTTTAAGGTCTGACCGAATTTTTTTTTCTTACACGCATGCGTGTTTAGAGGCGACGCTATGACGCATGCGTGTAAGAAAAAAAAATGCGGTCAGACCTTAAAGATGGAAACGCGAAAACGGCGTTTCAAAATCTTCCCACTCTGAAGGCTGAATAAAAAAAAGATCGTAGCGCCGTACTGTGTTGAATGGTTGCTGCTCATGCTACTCACCCTGCTGTCGGGCTTACAACAGAATCTTCTTCTTCTGGAATATCTCCAGGAAGAACAGAGCAATATCGACTTCATAGTTCAGCACCTGAATTTGACTGAGCCACGAAAATGGACCCGCAGGGCAACCATGTATAAATATTAGTGCGCATGCCCAACATTTCGTTTCCTGTTTTCGCCTATTTTTGCTTTGGCACCACAGCGCCACTTACAGGCCTTGCATACATTCTGCAGCGTTTTCATGCATTCGTGTGGACGATCACATTTATTTTACGTCTCCGTTTTTAAGACAAACGTTCTGGAAAATATTAGCGTTTCGTGTTCGTTTTGACTTCGTGTGGACGGGGCCTCACTGGAAAATGAAATTGCTGATATGGTAGGGTGACCAGACGTCCTCTTTTTCCCGGACATGTCCTACTTTTCATACCTTTTTGATGCTACTTCCAGCTTGCGGTTGTGATCGCCATTCGGTCGGAACAGCCTCTCGTTTCAGTAAAAGAAGTTTAGCAAATCCTGCTTTGAACTGTCCAAGATTTTGAAAGTTGTCTTCGGTAAAATGCTTGGAGCAAATGAACAGCTGAGCATCAAACTTTGCAGGGATCTTCTGATACACAAAAATAATCCACGCCTGTCAAGTCTTCGGATCCTTGAGAAGACTGTGAAAATGTTCCCCTTTCACTGGTCAGCCTGGAACACTGCATTTCCGCCCGTGTTTCTGGCTCATTTTCAGTAAAGAAACTGCCTGCTTTGTAATTCTTGTAGAAGTAAACCCAACTGTAGGCTAAACAGCTAAACTGCTGTCTTCCATCTACCTCTATTCATGTTCTTGGGCCGTGAACCAGTGGGCTGGTCTGTATGTCATTTTTGGGGCGTGACAAAAGTACAGGCCAGAACCAAATAAGGCAACATCCCCGAGCTTACGTCAACTCGGTGCTTCATTTGGATTCACCCGTTTTATGGTGGAAGTTTAGAATTGTGAGATTTGCAGAGAAAGGAGGTGATGGGGTTTGAACTTCCCTGCACGTCCATTTCAACCACTGAACTATCACTATTCATCGATGACAATGGAAACTCGGTTTTTCATTCTACGACCCCTTTAAATTCTCTGAAAATCACCAGAATATAGAAAATAATTTATATTGTGTGAAACATTTTCCACATAACTACAGACCACTTATTGTTATTCAGTAACATTTACTGTGCTGTAAGAAAATTCCACATTTTGCCACTTAGTTTTAGTAAAATCATCTGAAAACCTACAACCTATAGCTGCACCCATCCTCATAGCCTTTCAGTCTAACCCTGACATCTGTGGCCTGTTAAAACTAAGTTGGCAGCCCTGTATTTAAAAATGTGGGTTTAATGGAAAGTATGTTAATACCTGTTTAAGGTAGTTTTAATCTGACAAATGTGTCTCTGTGCGTTTTCTAATTCACTGAATATGACTTTATAGTATTTAAAAGGAACCTCTGTGGACTTTAAAGTTCTTTTTTTCCTTCCTAGTGCACTCAATATGTATTTATTTTGTGTGTGTGTGTGTGTGTTATTCTTTAGCAATTCAGGTAAAACAAAAAAAAGAAACATCCGAAGGTCAAACAGCCCCATCTAGTGGTTAAAAACAAAAAGTACAAGAAAAGGTTTTTTTATATACTTTCCTCTTTGACCAAAGTGCTTTACACAGGAAGTGACAGTAATTCCAAAATCAGAGTAAATACAGAGGATAACATTGAAATAGAAACATAAAAAAAGTCAACGGATGAATCACATTGTATTAAAAGTCAGTTTGTGCAAAGATTTAAGTTGTAAGAAGTAATTTATAAGCATAAAAAGTTCAAGCCATGTAATATGAAGCAGGAGCAGATTCCAGGCTGGAACTGAAAAGGCCCGACCATATCGAGACAAACCAACCTGGACATTGGGGCAGCTAAGCAGAGATGAGTGATCATTAAGTCTGTAGATCAATGGCAGCTAGATCACACATGAGGCTGCTGGAGATCAGACATCGATTCTTAAACGATCAGGAAGTAGATTAGATTAGATGAGCTTTATTGATCTCACAGCGGAGAAATTCACCCGTCACATATTGGCATAGAAGTTACAGAAGGTGCAAACAGGGAGGAAAAAGGTGCATTAAGAATAAGCAATAAACATACAGTATATCCAGGTATATACAGTATATCAAGATAAATAGGATTAAGGTGCAAGTGTACATGTATCGCACACAATGAAAAACAAAATAAAAATAAGAAATAAAAAAATGAGAAATAAAAATATGTACAATCCGGATGGCTTATATACAGGTGTAGAAATATTGCACATTCAGCATATTGCAAAGAATATTGCACAGTCAATAAATAAAAAGAATGGAGGAGCTTAGTTATGATTATGTTGTTATTTTTTGCAGCGTTTGAAACCACCTGCAATTATGAGAGGCTAGCCTGGCTAAAACCATAAAATACAGCTAAACTTTAGATAACAAGTTTTAAAAACTAATCTTTTCAGTACAGAGCTGATCTGTTTGTCAAAGTTGAGACTGGAATCACAAATTGCTCAAAGTTTGTTGAGGTGGCATTTAAAAAAATTTTTTATTGACCTTTAAAAAATAAATAAATAAATGATTGATTGACTTTATTTATCTCAGAGTGCAGAAATGTACTTGTTACATCAGCTCAAATAGTCAAAAAAAGAAAAAGAAAAAGAAGAAGGTGCCAAAGAAGAAAAAGGTGCATGGGATATAGACAGTGTGTCCACATATGAAAGCTTTTTTTAGTAGGATCATTGTCCAGTGTTATTGCACAGGGTGTTTACATGAGTATTTATTTATATATATTGCACTGGGCATCAAATATAAAGAAACAGGTTAGTGCACAAGGTATTAAATGGTAATTGCATATTAAACATTGCACAAGTTATTACCGTTGTAGAGTCGCATTGTGGAGTCTGGTTTCAGCAGGGATGAATGACCTGCGGTAGCGCTCCTTATACCAAACTGGGTGTAAAAGTCTTTCAGTAAAGCAGAGGGTGGATGGTGTTGTCCATAATGGATGGAAGCTTGGACAGCTTTCTCCTCAGTCACTTCCTCCACTGAGTCCAAAACCCTGCCTTAAGGGCTGGTTATCCTCCTGCAGCAGTGTGTCGCAGTGAGCTTGTTGCAGGTATTTCTGATTTATGCCAATTTTAAAGCGTGGTCTGCGCTGTTATTCACGAACTAGCTGTGGGTCTAGATACAGTCGAGGCGGTGAGAAAGTGGGGGCAAGTTCGTGTGAGAACTAGAGACTGACACGGGAGTGGATTTTCACTCCTGTCCCGTCCCGCTCCTGGTGAAATTACTCCCACTCCCATCCCGCTCCCATTCAGAATGACTCCCACTCCTGCACTGCTCCCATTCTAGTTGTCTTCAATACGATTTCTGCCAATACATTGAATCTGGATTTCTATGAAGGGTCAGTTAAGTTCCTGTTTCTAACTGTAGTAACTGTTGGTCCCTCCATTGTTGTTTTTGAGCGCGGGTGAAAAACTCAGAGCGGAAGCACTGTTGGTTTTTGGGTCGTGTAGTTTTTTTGACTCGCATTATAGTGTAGGCCTCAAGGAAAAAAACTACAAAATGGCGGCGGCAGTACTGGATTTATTATATCTTTCTATTTTATTTTATTTGTTGGCATCGATCCTAGTTTTTTTTTAGTTACTATTGGTTTGCTCTCGCTCCCGTCTGCTCCCGTTAATGTTTAATCCTGTACCGTCCCAATCCCGTGATCGTTACTAATACTGACTCCCATCCCATGGGAATCCCACGGGAATCCCGTGACCCGTGGGATTCCCGAAAAAATGTCAGTCTCTAGTGAGAACGGAGGCACATGAGGGCGAAAAAGAGCAGGGATCCAGGTGGAAAAAGGGTCCTAGCGTTCTCCCGCATCTCGCTCTTATAGCTGGTCCATCTTTACAAGTCGTTTTCCACAATGGCGGTCAAACAAACAAAACAAGCTGGTAAGGTACCAAACAGGAAATATGCTTAGAGTAGAGCGGATGTAGATTTGACCAATCGGAGGCCTCCTGTCTGCGGCACCGTCTGCAGTCACCTACAGTTTTGAAGAGGTGCAGGAGAGTGTCTGCGTTAACTGCGACACACTCGCAGACGACCTGGTTTCTGAGCATAAACCAGCTTTAAGACAGAAGTGGTCTTTCTCAGCAGTTTGTTCAGTGTCTTTCTGTCCTGCTCTGCACAAAATTAAGAGTTGGACAGAAGGACAAACAGATTAATGATTTTTCGTCATTCTAAACGTTATATCTGTCTCATAATCAGTTAAATAGAATTAAAAGTAAAGAATGAAAAATCAAAAAATGATTGGGTGGATAATCTTTCCCGCTGCATGTTGTTGCTTTGCAGGTTGTTTCTGAGTACAACGAGCTTGTGGACGGCTCCTTGATCGACCTCTGTGGGGCCACCCTCCTGTGGCGTACGGCAGAGGGCCTCGCTCGCACCCCCACCGTCAAACACCTGGAGGCGCTGCGGCAGGATTTCAACGCTGGGCGGCCGCAGTGCCCGGTGGGCTTCAACACCCTGGCCTTCCCCAGCCTGCGCCGAAAGGACGTCTTGGATGAGAAGCAGCCGTGGGCGTACCTGCGCTGTGGCCATGTCCACGGCTACCACTGCTGGGGAGGGCGGCGGGATCCCGAGGTGGAAGCGGAGTGCCAGGAGAGGGAGTGTCCCATGTGTCGAGCTCCGGGACCCTACGTGCCGCTGTGGCTGGGCTGTGAGCCGGCCTTCTACGTGGACGCCGAGCCTCCCACCCACGCATTCGTCCCCTGTGGGCACGTCTGCTCGGAGAAGACGACGGCGTACTGGAGTCAGATCTCGCTGCCGCACGGCACCCACGCCTTCCACGCCGCCTGCCCGTTCTGCATCCATCCTCTCAGCGGAGAGACCGGCTTTGTCAGACTCATCTTCCAGAGCCCACTGGACTAGACGCCCCTTTGACCTCTGTTTGAAGACGGAGGGGAACAGTTTATAAAACTGAAACTGACTTCATTAAACACAAAGTGCATTTATTGGGTAAATTCCAGTTACTGTTTTAAAAATTAAATGTGTGTCTGCCAGCAATCTCCTCTAGAGGTGGTTTTATCTCATGGAGCAGCTTCAGAAAAACTCTGGGAAGGTGGTGAAAAGCTTAAGTTGCCTTATTCTATTTATTCTTTAGTGGGTTTTTCTAAAGCAGAGATTAACTGCAGTAGCACTCAGGTGTGACCTTAGAGCTAACCTCAAGTTTTCCTATTAAAACACTGGATTAAAAAAAAAACTCTGGGAATCTTTTATTTTTACTTTAAAAACAAGCAAGTCCTTCTTTGTCTTGAGAAATTATATTTTGAACTTAATGCAAGCAAATGTACATGTGGGAAACTTAAAAACCTGGATCCTGTGACCTTTATAGCAGCAATTTTTTTTTTTTTTATAAACAAAAATCTTTAATTCAGACACTGTAAAACTACACTTTTACATAATGTGAGCAATAAGGTTTTACCAAACCATTGTTGAAATTATATGCAACATTTATCTCTGCAGCGCCACCATGTGGCTGAATTTACCACTTTTTGAATGTAAGAGATAACTTTAAATATCTGCTTTATCTACTCCTAAGAAAATGTTTTATTTAGCTTTTTAATGCTTTTCTATATCTATCTTATCTGTTTTCTTTTAAAAGTTAGTTTACAGGCTTTTTGGGAAAACATGTTTTTATTCTGAATAATCTGTTACCACTCTAATGACTAATGTTTTGTCATTATAGATGTTTGGTCACCGTTGTTCTTATTGGGTTCTTTTGACTGTTTTTGTACTGTCCAAAATAATAAAGACTCTGATGCTCTTTACTGGCTGCCTCTGTTTTTTGGTTGGAACATTAAAATTCAAAACAAAGATTTTATTTTTCTATTGCAAAAATAACATGAAATAGCCCAAACCTGCTGCTAAATATTGCAATATTTTAAATTACAAGACTTTAGCCAAGGATTGAATAGTATGGAGACCATCTTAGCATTTTATAAATTAAAGTAGTTCAATTCAGTTTGTCTGTTACCGATCCACAACACGTCATCTCAAAGCACAGAGAAAATTCAACCAGATGATTCAGGCAGATTGGTTCAAATTTTTTTTAGGAAAACCAGCTGATTGCATCGAATCATTGACTCGAAAGCAATCACTCACACTAAGCATGCATGCAGAGACAATGGAGAGGAAAACTCCCTTTTAACAGGAAGAAACCTCCAGCAGAATTGGGCTCAGTGTGAGCGGCCATCTGCTGAGGCCCACTGGGGTTTAGGGAGACAGAAGCTCAAATATATAAGTACTTTCTATGTTAGAAAGGTTAACAGTAAACGAGCTCCACTGGTGACCAGAGATGGGAAGTAACGAAGTACAAATACTTAGTTACTGTACTCAAGTAGATTTTTCTATTTTTACTTTACTTTACTACTTATTTTTATGCCGACTTTTTACTTCTACTCCTTACATTTTTACACAAATATCTGTACTTTCTACTCCTTACATTTTAAAAAATTGGCTCGTTACTTTAGTTTTGAATCATTTCAATGGAGTTACCGTTATTATTTTTCACGTCATCAATACCAAATTCAATCTAATTGGATGGGAATCTACGTTGCATTTGACGCACCACTACAAGATGAATCGACAGATTCGGCGGTATTCATTGGCGGCAAATCATTGCAGCTTGGTGGCGGTGGCGTTAGCATAGTAGCATGGACGACGAGATGATTGAAAATGAACACAACGGAGATCTAGTCCTATTGGCAGACATCCATTTAAAATATAGGCAACGGCATGAAAAAAGTGGTTTCTACTTTTACTTTTAGTAAATTTACATGCCTGTACTTTGTTACTTTTACTTGAGTAAAGAAGTTTAATCAGTACATCCACTTTTACCAGAGTATTTTTTAACACAAGTATCTGTGCTTTTACTCAAGTACGGAAAGTGAGTACTTTTGCCATCTCTGCTGGTGACTCAAGATCTAAGCCGGTTTTCATTTTAAAGGGATGAAAGAGACCACATACAGTTAGTCACAGTAAAAGTTGAGCGCATAGCTATGTCTATGATAGAATGGGAACAACAACAGAAAAACAGGCCAAGCTCCAACATCTACAAACAAAGGTGTTGATGGCAGCAGCACAGGTGATATTTCTCTCCAGGATGGAGTCACAGCCAAACAGGAACAGACCAGATGAAGCTAATATGAGAAAAAGCAGAGAGAGCAGAACGTTAGAGATTGAACTAATAGATTCTGCAGAATTGAGATAGAGATGGAATGAGGCAGAATGATGATAAAAGGGTCCCTATGTCATCCAGCAGTCTAAGCCTATAGCAGCATAACTATAGCGATAGCTCAGGATAACCTGAGACCCTCTATTTGGCTGGATGTACTCTCTTCATCCTCTGACGGGGAAGCTGGCTCGGAGCTCGTCTGCCTGGCTGTGTGTTTCCTACTGTAGACGGGGCCGCCTGTGGCCCTGGTTGTTAGTTGTCTTTTGTATCTATGCTTTTTTTTCTATGTCTGCTTCTGTCTCCTTGAACCCCAGTCGGCCTCAGCAGATGGCCGCTCACACTGAGCCCAATTCTGCTAGAGGTTTCTTCCTGTTAAATGCTTGCCACTGTTGCCACAAGCATACTCAGTGTGAGGGATTGCCTTCGAGTCAATGAGTCGATGCAATCAACTGGTTTTCCTTGGATAGAAAACTTTGAAACAATTTGACTGGATGATCTGGTTGAATTGTCTCTATATAGTGCCTTGAGTTGAAGTGTGTTGTGAATTGGTGCAATAAAAATAAGCTGAATTGCATTGAATTTCAAGAAAAATTTACTTATATTTAAAATGAGTAGCACTGGGGGCCAGGACAAGTCCCCATAGGGGCCCTGGCCCCTGTTGGCCTCCTTCTAGAACTGCCCATGGGGAACAGTTTTGGTCAAGAAAACCTTAAAAATCTCCACATGAAATGCTTGAAAACTGTTTTTGAGGATCCATTCGGTTGTTTCTCCTTCGGGTTTGTCGAAGTTAAAGGAATAGTACACCCAAAACATGATTAGCCTTCATTTTCTACTCACCCCTATGCTGAACAACACTCTGGAGTAATTTTTTGATATCTCAAATGCATCTGGAGATCTGGGAGGCTTCTTGCTGTCTGCTGACATTCAAATAATGGAGATCTATGGTGCCCGAGACAGAAAGGTCCATAAAAGTCCACAAAAAACGTGTCAATATTCCTCCATACTGCTCGTCCAATGTATTCCAAGTGTCCTGAGTGGGTAGCATCCAGAATTTACTCGAAACGAAGTCATTTAGAATGTTTTTAGAGCATAAACAGTAGTGTATAGGATTTCCTGAAAGCGCGCACACGCGCGCTCACGACGCTACGGAAGCCGGCAGATCAAACCAGATGAAAGTGCGCATTCAGCGTCTGATCTTCCAATAATGCAAGCATAGAAGAAGAAATGTGCTGTTTACCGGTGCAAAGAAAGAAACAACGAAAGAAAAATATCTGAGGACTTCAGTGTTGAGGAAGAGCATGAGTTCTTTGCCGAGCTGAATGCGCTGGTTTGGTCTGCCGGCTTCCGTAGCGTCGTGAGCGCGCGTGTGCGCGCTTTCAGGAAATCCTATACACTACTGTTTATGCTCTAAAAACATTCTAAATGACTTCGTTTCGAGTAAATTCTGGATGCTACCCACTCAGGACACTTGGAATACATTGGACGAGCAGTATGGAGGAATATTGACACGTTTTTTGTGGACTTTTATGGACCTTTCTGTCTCGGTCACCATAGACCTCCATTATTTGAATGTCAGCAGACAGCAAGAAGCCTCCCAGATCTCCAGATGCATTTGAGATATCAAAAAAGTACTCCAGAGTGTTGTTCAGCATGGGGGTGAGTAGAAAATGAAGGCTAATCATGTTTTGGGTGTACTATTCCTTTAACACGACAAGACATATAAAAAGGACAGTTGTGGCCAGCAGGTGGCAGCAACAACATGGCAGAGAGAAGATGAAGAAAAAAAATAAATTTGTACTGGCTGCCGCAGTGCATGATGGTCGTTGTGCCGGTGCTATCCTGCTCGGTATGAATGTGTGTTATTCTGCTCACAGTCCCATCAGTGTTCATGTGATGTTGAAGAGGAGATATATCGACCAGAGCGCTTTACAAGTCAGGTAAAGACATGTCGAAAGTTCCACTTTCATAACAATTGGTTTCTTTTTTCTATATTTCCATGGTTGCTCTTTTAGCCTGTTAGCATTAGCCAGTCTACGTGTAACCGCAGCTGACAGCATAAACTTTAGCCACGGCTATTAGCAAAGACAGCATTTAAACTGCACCGTTTCTCGTGTGGTGTCAAACAGATACACGGTTTTGTCTGTTATGCATTTTTATGTTGTTCTAGCTTCGTTGTCAGCCGCGCTAACCTTAATATGACAAGTAAACATGACAAGTGAACAGCGTAGCGAGCTAAAGCTAGCTGGCTAGCTCCCGTCACTAATGGAGCCTAAACAATGAACTGACAGTTCAACCAGACTACACAACATCTCATAAAAAAGTTAGTTTTAACCAGGAAACATGTCAGTATTGTCGCTCAACGATTAGTATCTGTATGTTCTGCATTTAAATCCAGCTGTTTTATAATTAACTATTTATATATTTTTGTGGACCAAGCTGAATCCTGTCACAGTTTACCTTCTGGTGACCTGAAATGCTAATACTGTGGCAGGGAAATAGTAGCTTTGGTTTGGATATTAATCTAAAAATAATCTGTTGTGTTTCTGATACATAGCTGTTATTATTTGGGGCTTGTTTACAACATGAGAATGTTGCTGCTTTTTATGAGAAAGAGAGTTTTATTTCGGTTCAAAGGTAAAAACTGATTTCTCAGCTCTAATCTGAACCCTTTCTGTTACTGAAATCCACTGATTATACACATCTACTCCTTCTGCATTAAGGTACACCAAAAGGCAGAGACATGCCAAACTAATCAATGGATTGCCCTTCAGAACTCAATAGCAACAACAACATCTGAAAGTAACAATATCAGCACAACTATTCCAAATACGTACTTAATATAGTCATAGTTTACTGTAGTTTGAGTCTTTGGTTTATCAAATAATAAAATTCCTACATTCCTTTATTTTGAACATGTTCATGATTTGATAGAAGTTTGTATTTTGCTTTATACATGATTTGTTTTGGTATATAATATATCAAGTCTCTGAATTTTAGTGTGTTTAATTGATTAATTGGCTCACTGTATAGTTGAGGTCTGAAACAACTAATCGGATTATTCCTGATTAATCCCTTATTCAAATAATCGTCAACTAATTTAGTAATCGATTGTTATCTGGAGTATAGAGATGCTAAAATATGTCTTAAGCTTTCAGAGTGAACCACTTGGAGCAGAAATTATACCAAAATTGTAAAAAAAAAAAAAAAAAAAAAAAAAAAAAAATATATATATATATATATATATATACATACACACACATATTTTGCATTTAAGATTAAAAAAACAAAAACAAAAACAAAAACACGAAGAAAATCTCTATCAATCTGTTCTGTCCAGAACTCCTCAAATTGAAATGTTTTAGTTTGGTTTAATTTCATAAAAAATATATTTTGCTATTCCATTATTAATATTTATTAAAAAAGCGACAGATTAATCGATTTGTAAAAAAAACCAAACATTAATTGCAGCCCTAGTAAAGCTTCTGACTGATAAATCTAATAGCTTTTTGTTTGTATTAAAAAATAGAATTTGTATTAATTATATATTTCCCCACATCTCTACATAATACGTCATATATGGACCAATTATTAAAAATATTGTTTTTATTTTATGTCTCAACAGATAATTCTGTCTGCAAAAAGTAATAGGTAAAATAACATTTTCTTTGCACAAACTGCCTGTAGGTTGAAAGTATGAACATTTTAAATGAAAAATATCTAATCCTCCTTTTAAACTGTTAGCTCCCTTAAGTTTTACTGATAGTTAAGCTGTAGAGAAAATATGTCGTGTGTAAGTAAAAGAAGGTGTTGTAAAATTAAGATGCCACTATTTCAGCAATATTTCTAATATAAAACTATACTAACATGAGCTGAAATAATCTTTAGAGGTTCGTGTTTGTATTGAATAGAGCTGTTTATGGAAATAGTATAACTTGTCATTATTGATAAAAAAAAACACACCTTTCCATTTACATTAATTACAATTAATTTTAACCAATATTGCGATTGAGATGTAGTTGCGATCTTTCTCCTCGGCAATAAGCACAAGCATGCAGATGTTTTACTCCAGGGTTTCAGTTTTTTTCATGACCTTGAAAGCCTGCTCGTGCAGAGTGCAGTGTTGTAAAACTTTGCTGTTAAACTTGCACAAACAAAGTTCTTATTTCTACTATAATGCATTAATCGAGGCGCTTGCTGCTACTCTGTCCTCCTGGATGTGCTTTGGTGGCACAGTGGTTAGCGCACACAACCCATTTACGGAGGCTTTAGTCCTTTAAAAAAGAATCAACAAAAAAAACCCCACCAACTCTGTCCTCCCATCTGTGCGACACCTTAAGGGCTGGAGGAAGTAATTTAGTGTCTTACTATTCTTAAATGTATTGTGATTAAAAAAAATGTGTGCCTCTTCAATTTGAAAACTGCATTTTTCACAGTTGCAGTTAGATTGGAAATGATTTTTTTTAAAGCTTTTATTGAAAACCCATTCAAGCGTGTGTTCCTGGGTAATCTGTTGCTCTCAATAATTTGGTGTATTACTCCTGTTCTGGGACTGAAAATGATTTTTTTTTTTTTTTTTTTTTTAAGATAATGTGTTGCATTAAGTTCCCCAAATGAAAGCAATAACCCTACCTGTCTAAGTTTTGATATGTTTCTAAAAATAGAAATGAAACAGTTATATCTGGTACTTCTCATAATTAGCATCTGATGGAAACAAGCAAGTTTAAAGCATCTGACAGTCAGAAGCCCATCCTAATTTCTAATAGTCAGTAGTCCTGATGCTGTGTTTGATGTAATCCTTTCATTGCTGTGATGAGATTAGCAGCAGATGGTCGTTCACCTCCTAAGGCAGATTAAAACTGCTGCTTATTAACCCCCACAAATACACACTTTGTGTAAAAAAAAAAAAAATGCCTCTGGACCAAATAAACTGCAGTAGACTAAAGTGGAACCCTCTGGCACAATTTGTGAAAAGATGGCAGCAGTATTTTTTTTTTTTAATTCTTACACATTATTAAAATGTTCCAGGGTTGAGTGGATGCTGGGTTGAGTTGTGACTGATGTAGCAGCTTTGATCAATGCAAGCTTCACCCTAAAAGCAAACGCCAACAGTCACTTCCTTTGCAGCTACATGATGAATCTGTCAAGTGGAAGTGAGAATATATTCTAGTAATGTTAAACTAAGGTTCTTTTATTAGATGCATTTTGCAGACATTAAATCCTGAAGCTCTGAACAGGTCAGTGTCATTCATAAACCTAAAATAAAAAACATCTGTAAAAAGCAAAATGCATCCAATCAAAAACACAATAAAAAACATGGAGAAAAAAATGGATTTCAGTTTGATTTTTAAACATTTCTACAGAGAGCAGTGGTAAAATATCAAATACTTTAGGAGCCACAGACCCGGCCTTCCTTTAGTTTTTAACAGAGTATGAATAACATCTAAGAGGTTTGGTGCTTAGGATTGAAGTCTACAGAGTGGAGTTTAAATAAATACTGATACAAATATTTTAGAACCTGCCCCTTTAGAGCCCTTTAGGTACAAACAAGAGTTTTAGATTTAACACTAAAATGGCGGCCTTTTCAAGGAGCATGAAACTGGAGTTATATGTGAAAAATCTTCTATATTTAGTTGGAGGTCTGGCTGATTTGTTGTGGAAAGTTTCGAGGTGTGAAACTGAGGTTCTGTCTAGACCAGGAGTCAGCAACTTATAACCAATAGAAATACTATTTTTTTTTTCCTCTTATTTTAAATAAATCTACAGTTTCTAGAGCCCTGAAACATCCATAACCATGTTTTTGTGATAAAAAACACCCTCTGTATAAATAGTATTATAGTTACAAATCGAAACCTTTGTCTTTCATTTAGGCTTACAAAAATACAAAAAAAATAATTTCTTAAAAATGCATTAAAATTTTTCATTTGAGTCGTAATTAATAAACTATTGAATCATTAACTCAGTTTTCGTTTAATCAATAAGTGAAGTATGTAGACTAAAAAAGGAACACATCACGTCATCAATCTATATAACGCCTCCCTCAAGTGATTCAGCCCCCCCCGTAATTGACATTTATGCACTATTTTTGCACGCCACGCATCACTTTACTTGGATTTATCACCTTACTTGGACTTTTCACTTTATTTGGATTTTGTTTTTACATATGCATAGATATACGTACAGATATATATATATATACAGAAGAGCTATATGTGTATATATTTTATCTCTTTTATTCTTATTTTTTATCTTTATTATATTGTATAGTTGGATGTGTGTATATATCATGTAAAACTGTAACTGGAGCGTGTAACAAAAGTAATTTCCCTCTGGGATTATTAAAGTATTTCTGATTCTGATTCTGATCAAAGGAGAAATATTAGCCAAAACTGTTCAAAATATATGTAAAGTTTGATTAAAGATAAAAAAAAAACATTCTTTAACAGTAAATAAGAATTCCTAAAGTAGCATAGTTTTAGATGGTATAAACTGCTATAAAGCATACACTATATTGCCAAAAGTATTTGCTCACCTGCCTTGACTCACATATGAGCTTAAGTGACATCCCGTTCCTAATCCATAGGGTTCAATATGACGTCGGTCCACCCTTTGCAGCTAGAACAGCTTCAACTCTTCTGGGAAGGCTGTCCACAAGGTTTAGGAGTGTGTTTATGGGAATTTTTGACCATTCTTCCAGAAGCGCATTTGTGAGGTCGCACACTGATGTTGGACGAGAAGGCCTGGCTCTCAGTCTCCGCTCTAATTCATCCCAAAGGTGTTCTATCGGGTTGAGGTCAGGACTCTGTGCAGGCCAGTCAAGTTCATCCACACCAGACTCTGTCATCCATGTCTTTATGGACCTTGCTTTGTGCACTGGTGCACAGTCATGTTGGAAGAGGAAGGGGCCAGCTCCAAACTGTTCCCACAAAGTTGGGAGCATGGAATTGTCCAAAATGTCTTGGTATGCTGAAGCATTCAGAGTTCCTTTCACTGGAACTAAGGGGCCAAGCCCAGCTCCTGAAAAACAACCCCACACCATAATCCCCCCTCCACCAAACTTTACACTTGGCACAATGCAGTCAGACAAGTACCGTTCTCCTGGCAACCGCCAAACCCAGACCCGTCCATCAGATTGCCAGATGGAGAAGCGCGATTCGTCACTCCAGAGAACGCGTCTCCACTGCTCTAGAGTCCAGTGGCGGCGTGCTTTACACCACCGCATCCGACGCTTTGCATTGCACTTGGTGATGTATGGCTTGGATGCAGCTGCTCGACCATGGAAACCCATTCCATGAAGCTCTCTGCGCACTGTTCTTGAGCTAATCTGAAGGCCACATGAAGTTCGGAGGTCTGTAGTGATTGACTCTGCAGAAAGTTGGCGACCTCTTCGCACTATGCGCTTCAGCATCCGCTGACCCCGCTCCGTCAGTTTACGTGGCCTACCACTTCGTGGCTGAGTTGCTGTCGTTCCCAAACACTTCCATTTTCTTATAATACAGCTGACAGTTGACTGTGGAATATTTAGGAGCGAGGAAATTTCACGACTGGATTTGTTGCACAGGTGGCATCCTATCACAGTTCCACGCTGGAATTCACTGAGCTCCTGAGAGCGACCCATTCTTTCACAAATGTTTGTAAAAACAGTCTGCATGCCTAGGTGCTTGAATTTATACACCTGTGGCCATGGAAGTGATTGGAACACCTGATTCCAATAATTTGGATGGGTGAGCAAATACTTTTGGCAATATAGTGTATGTTGCTATCTGATTATTATTTGATTGATTGAAAAAAAATTATCAACAGATAAAATTCATTAGCAAAACTATTGTTTGATGCTGCCCTACATACAGTGTGATGTCATCAGCATACATGTGATAAGAAATATCAGCAAAACCCTGAATTATACAGGCTAATAGGATGTAAAAATGAAAAGGGACCAGAAGCGACACTTGTGGAACCCCAGAGATCAGAATGTCCTGAGAGTCGGATCAGAGAACCAGACACCATAGATAGACCCATAGATGCCAGTCAGAGCCTTTAGTATGGGAGAATTATCCTGCCATAATGCAAGAGCACATAATTTCAATTTGAGAAAAGAATTTCATCTTCTTGCACTCAAAAACTTATAATGCTCACACTCAAAACATGCGCTCTCTCTCAGATATTTTCTCTTCTCTCTCAAATCTTTGTTTCTTCTCTCAGATTTAATGCTTCTTGCACAGATATTTTCTCCTCTTGCTTGCCTCCTTCTCTTCGCGCTCTGCTCGAGTCTCAGATATGCTCGCAAACCTGAGGCTCTGCTTGCAGATTTTTTTGCTCTCTCTCAGATTGCAGTCAGATCGTCTCCTAGCAACCTTTCCAGCCAATAGAACGACAGCCTCAGACAGGGTGCGCTTGTTTAACCCTACTGAGTGTGCCTGTGCTACTATAAGAGCGTCAGCTAAAACTGCTATTTACAGTAGTTTTGCTAGTAGTTTGCTAGTCAGGGCAGATGCTGCGTCTAGCAGAAATTAAGTGACTTTTCATTGGTGATTCTTAAAATGCCCTTTATTATTTCCTTTTTTTATTTTCCTGATCGTGGTTGTTTTTCAGCTTCTTATTTTAATAGCTTTTAAATTTAAAAAGCCATTTTATTGTCGGTAAGATTTATCACAGGCAAACTCAGTAGAGTTAAACAAGCGCACCCTTTCTGAGGCTGTCGTTCTATTGGCTGGAAAGGTTGCTAGGCGACGATCCGACTGCAATCCGAGAGAGAGCAAAAAAAATGCGCAAGCAGAGCCTACGGGTTTGTGAGCGTATCTGAGACTCGAGCAGAGCGCGGTTTGTGCGCGAAGAGAAGGAGGCAAGCGAGAGGAGAAAATATCTGTGCAAGAAGCATTAAATCTGAGAGAAGAAACAAAGATTTGAGAGAGAAGAGAAAATATTTGAGAGAGAGCGCATGTTTTGAGTGTGAGCATTATAAGTTTTGAGTACAAGAAGATGAAATTCTTTTCTCAGATTGAAATTATGTGCTCTTGCATTATGGCAGGATAATTCTCCCATAGTTTAGTTTTTGTAGTCACCAGTATTAAACGCTGCACTGGTATCCAGCAGGACCGACTCTTGACTATGTCCCTTTATCCGCTGCCATTACAATCTCAAACAATTTGTGAAGCGTCTCAGTGGAGTTCTGGTGTAGAAAAACAGTCCAAGATCTAAGCTGGGTTTCATGAACTTTTTCTTATTACATCCTGATAAAGGGCAGCTCAGATATAAGGTGATCCATGGAGGATTATTCAGGTCAGGATGACCTCTGCCATTTTAAAAAGGACAGGACAGGATCTTCTTTAAGTTAGCTGTTGTCCATTATTGACAATATTGATGGACCAAAGGAGTAATACAAACAGGTAAAGGGGAAAACTCTGGAGCTCATCTTTTTGGGTTGCAGAGCCAGATTTCGTAAAGCAGAAATGTTTTTGCAGGTTTCCCAGAACTTTTCACTCTAACGATGCTTAGTTTGGTTTACCTTGAATCTACTACTCACCTGCTTTCCGTGGTCAAGATTTGTAGGATTTGAAAATTGCAGAATCGTTTCTTCCTCTGAAATCCTTCATCTCAGTGTTTGTTTGGGATTTCCAGCTAGCCTCCTGGGAGGCGAGCCCCAATGCCATGGCCTCCAGTAACAGCTCCTCCCCAGTGCCTCGCCCTGCAGGTGGGGGTCGAGATGGGATGCACCGGAAGGAGCATGGCTCCTCGCCTCTGCGCTGCCGGGCCGTTCGCTCCTTACCGGACGTTTGCCCCAAGGAACCAACGGGTGAGCAGAAAAAAACCCTCCTCATTGCTCCCAGCCTGGTCTACATTTCTGTCTGCATGTCTTTTATCTTGTGTTAATAGTCTGTAATTTGGAAACTGGGAAAAACTTCAGCCTTAATTCCTGCCTCCCTAAAACCTAATGCTGTGTTCAGACCATACGCTGCAGGAGCAGCAAAAGCAGGTAGTTTACATGCAAAGTCAATGCTTGACGCGCATCAAGGCGCAGCAAAAGGTCCTGCAGCACGTCTAAGCAGCTGAAGCAGCATATCATGAGCTTCTGAGCACGCAATGCGCTGCAAAAGCAACAGCTGCTGGAGTTGGATAGATTTTACTCTTGCTGCACGACGCATCACATCCACCAATCAGAGAGGCTGATCTGAGAGCTGGCAGGGAGACGGAGAACGCGCTGCTGATGCAGAGCGCTATGATCACTTCTCTGAAATATTTTATTAATGCCTAAATTAACTTAAAATGTCAAAAACTGCCGGCAAGATATGTTGATTTTATTCTTCTGGTGCCTGCAGTTTGGATAACGTACGTGAAAAACGCCTTCTGGCCGCCGCAAACAGTAGCGGAAAACCGTGAATAGCCGACCAGGCCAGAGGCTGTTGCTGACAGTGACAGAGAACTGCCGGTCTCAGCAGCTCTGACAGCAAAATAATATATGAAAGCAGGATGGTAATCTGGATGAACTGACGGCACAGATGAAATTTTCAGGTGGACTTTCTTACTTAAAAATATATTTAAACTACTTTTTACCCACTGACCACAGCAAATATAGCAAAGCCGCTCTCTGCATTGATTGAACACATCAGCAGCAGACGTATCGGATGGAGACAGTTTACTGGACGCGCTTCAGGGGCGACAAAGTTGCTTTCAGCTCTTGCGTTCTGAACGCAGCATAATTGTTTATTTTCCCACTTCAGTCACCGTGTGATGCTGTGAGCCTACAAACATTCTTTTGTTATGAGCTAATTGATGTTTTTTGCTTCTTTGTCTGTTTAAATATCCACTCAACAAAGTTCACCTAATTACTCTAGTTATTTTCTTGTATTTCTTTTTTTTTTTTTTTTTATTAATTTCAAGATATTTCTCCTCATGCAAATGTAAATAATAGTCCACTGTTACTGTTTACTGTAATTTAGAGATGCACGATATAATCGGCCCCCTATCGGTATTGGCCTTAAAACTGAATATCGGACATCGGCCACCCCACCGATATTTAACCCGATATTTGATCAGCTTCTGAGTTTCTAAAGTCTATAAAAAAAATATATACCACTACTTCTTCTTCTTCCTCAAAAACCTCTTTTTTACAGACTTAAAAACTTCTAAAGACGAAGGAAAAAATATTGATACATTAAAATATCACAATATCTTCACATGCTGATATATTGCCATTTAAAAACACCATATCAATCTCTTTTACTAATGAAATATTGCTATATTTCATCGTTATGCTACGAAATCCCCCGAAAATTCACGAAATTTTGCCATATTTTTATATGTTGATATATTGACGCGGTATCAATCTATTTTACTAACAAAATCTCACAAGAATTTGCTAAATATCACGAGAGTTTGTAACAGAACAATGAAATTTCACGAGATTTTGAAAGTAAAATAGATCGATACCCCGTTTTTAAAAATCAATTTGATATCAGCATATGAAAATATATTTGAGTATATTATTTTTCAAAGTGTCAGATATGGAGAACAAAACTGCGATTTTCAATGACTACTTATTTTTGTCCAGCTTTAACATCGGTATATCAGATATCGGCCAAAATCCCAATATCGTGCATCCCTACTGTAATAATTTTTTCCTCTATGAAAATGGTGTCATTCAATTTAACATACAGATTAGTAGTTTATTAATTGAATGTGGTGTTTTCCTTCTGCAGGTGAGGGGCGGAGCCTGTGCAACGGTCCCTCCGTTGTGGCGGAACACGACCGATGGACGGTGTACAGTTCAAAGGTCAACCTCCCCGCAGCGCTAAATGATCCCAGGCTGGCCAAACGAGAGTCGGACTTTTTCACCAAGACATGGGGGCTGGACTTCACAGAGACCGAAGTCATGCCTTCCTTCCACCTGCCCAACATCACCCGGGAACACTTCGGGCCATACTCGCAGGAAATGAGTCAGGTAACCTCTAGGCTATATTTTTAAGAGCTTAATTTTTCTCAGAAAGGAAAAATGTTCACATTTAAAGTAGGGGTGGGCGATATGGCGATTTAAGATCGTGTTACGATCTGTCATTATTAAGAGACCGTTTTATCAGGATCCCCAGAACTGCAGTGCTGCTGTATTTCTACTAAAAAAAAACCTTCACAGCTAGAATATAATGAGGGTTTGACGTCCGTCCGTTAGTTTAAAAACGCTAACAGATTAATTTACAAAACTTGCTCCCTAAGATAAAGGCAGTAAATGGTGGAACAGCGTGACAGAAGCGGTGATGTTTCACTTGGTGAAAGATTTATGTCCTCTACGAACCGTAGAAGGAGTAGGATTTAATAAAATGTTAAACGTTTTGGATCCTCGCTTTGAGTTGCCCAGCCGCACTTATTTTTCAAACACCGCTCTTCAACGTATGTACGCTGAATGCAGAGAGAAAGTTTCACAAAATATAAAAAATTTGCACTTCTTTGCCACCACAAGCGACCTCTGATCTGGGATCTATGTAATGCAACACTGCAGGCGGCCTATTTTCCTGATCATATCATCATAGATTGCACAGATTACATCTTGACTTGCACTATATTTGCAGTTCCATAATAGTTTTTGTTTCTAAAGACTTTAGAAATTATACAAATCTATTGTTTAATGTAATAATTTTTTTAAAACTCTTTCTGTGTGCTTTCTTTTATCTTCATTAGACCAGTCAAGATACAGTTAGATTTTTTATTTATTTTGACTGTAGTTACTTGAAAAATGTAACTAATTTGTAATTGTTTTCCTCAGGAGTTATTACATTTTTATACTCTTTGGTGTGTTTACAATATAGACATTAAAAAAATAAGTTTGTTAGCACTGCTTTGATTCTCTAATTTTAATAAACTTGTTAATTTATTTAACCTTCTTTGCATGTCATTGAGGTTATGTTGGTCGTATCTAAAAAATCGTGATGACAGGGTTCCCGCGGGTCCTTAAAAAGTCTTAAAAGGCATTGAATTCTTCAAAATAAAACTAAGGCCTTAATTGGTATTAAAATGTCTTAAATTAGTCTTTCGTAGGTCTTAATTTTTAAAACATCATAAATAGGATAATTTTTATTACGATTTATTTTTGTAATCTAAATAAAACATCAAAATTGACGAATTTTTTTTTTTTATTTAAAAAAAATAACGGCTCGCCATTATTGGTTCCGTCCCAATAGCGGAACCAATAAAGCGTTGTTGCTGCCAGGACATTTGGGAGATGCGCCATTAACTTATTGTCTGGAAAATATGAGCAAGTGTAAATGTAACCAAAATTGTCTCCAGCCAAGAGTTTTCTCCATGGCTAAAACCAGGGAACATACATGAGGCTCAGTGGATTTAGTGCAAGAAGTCATTCAAGCTCAGAACGATGGGAATTAATGCAGTGGAGTCGCACATGCGAAGCACGAAACACAAAGCGTTAAAATGGAGTTACAGAGAAACAGCCGGTATTTCTCAGTTTAGTTCCACCCTTGTCTCTGCAACGCCTCCACTTATCACCAAATCAAACATACTAAGAAAACCATACAAAGAAAAATAGCTGCAAAAAAGACTTAGCACTGGTTATGTTGGGGCTTTAAAACTGATTTGTTTTGTTCCCTGCTAAAACAAAGTTTGTGAATTCAGTTAAATAATTGTTAAAATATATCTGTCATTTGTGTGTTTTTAGCTTCCTGTATGGGAAGCTTTTCAACATTTGAAACATTAGTGCAGTGGTTTATGTTAAAATAAACCTTTGGGTTAAGTTGTCGCAAGCAGGTTTTTCTTGTTTCTTGTGAATTTGGTCTTAAATTTTTATTTCAAGTGGCATTAAAAAGTCTTGAATTTAACTTGCCTTATGCTGTAGGAACGCTGGATAAATTGAGATCACAATAATATAATCAAAAAATCATGATATTTTATTTTTGCCATATTGCCCAGCCCTAATTTAAAGCTACATCTCTAAGAGCAAATGTCTGTTTCTCAGAATAAGCACTGATTCAGGAAGTCTAATATGGTGCGGCTGACTCCATGAGTCACGTTTTTGACTTATCGGTTCATAAGTCATCTACACAAGGCTTAAATCCATGTTTGAACCTATGACTCATTTCATTTTTACAAAACAGGATAATTAACTTTTTATTCTACATTCCAACAGTATTTACTCTCTGTCTCTTTAGCTGCACAATTAAGAGTTTGTAGAAAGTTTGTGAAGAATCGGAAAGGTTTTGTAGTTTAAGCATTTTATATAAAGGATGCCACAGAACCCTCAGTAGATCAGAAGATGTTCTATATGAGAAAGGTTTTAGTCCTCCCCATGAAGGAAACTGTTCAGTCAAGCTGTTTCATATGGTTGTGCTTCATTGGTTTTAAGTTTTAACTGAGTCAGCAGGATGCATGTTAGCACCAGCCTGTAAATTAGCATCAGCTTTCAAATCAAAGAGGGGGTTGTTAAACATGTAAACATTCACTTTCACTACTTTGGCTGCAGTATCAGACTAATACGACTGATTAACTGTTTTTCGGTAATGTATAATATAAAGGAGTTCCTTTTTCCTTGTTCTATATCTTTGTGAAAGGATTTCAGCAGCAGGAATCAACATGCTGACAAACCTGTTCCACCCATTCATGGTGTGAGCTGGCCCTTCCAGAAACGGTTTATTTAAAGTTAGAGCCTCGTGATATGAAAATAAATCCTGGTCTTTTAGCAGCAGATTTACTTCATACATCCAGATAATGTTTAGTATGAAACCTAAAAAGGATCTTGCTTTCTTCTTCTGGCTAATTCAGCAGGTTTGTAGGTAAGTTTTTAGTAAGTTTCATGTAGCGTATAAGGAAACAGTTTTGACCTTTTTTTTTCTATATAAAAAGGAAAAGATACTATTTAGTGAGGCATTTTCTAATTTCATTTTTACTTTTTTTTTTGCACATTCTGTCTCTGTAAGTCCTGCAGTTCAAAAGAGAATCACATGACCCTGCGCCAACCTCGTAGCGCTGTTTTATTTCCTCCCTCAGGTTTCACAAGGAGAAGTCGACTTTCAGACTTTACAGCTGCTGACGTTTATCCATTTTCCTTTCCCATCTCGTTCGACATACAGCTTTAGCTCATCGGAGCTCATAAATAACCTTTTCTGTTTTCTTTGTTTGCTGTTTTTAGAGAGAACGAATCCACGACCGCTGCAAGACGATCTGTCCCAATAAAGACGATGTGGATGCAGTTTCCAGTGTCACATCCAACAGCGGTATGAATTATTAATTTGCTGTTGCAGCCCAGTGCCCCCATTATATAGTCCATAAACCAATCAGCACATCACTGCTGTGTTAAACATGAGTATCATTGGATGCTGGACTGAAGTAGCATCGCTAACCGACTAAACGCTCTTTCCATTTCACCCACATAGTGACTAAAATCTTATGCAAGTCATATTTAAATGTCAAATCATTCTGGCTTAAACATCTATAAAAACGTACTCTTTATCCGATGATATTCTCCCAAAATTTAGAAAATTTCTATTTATTAAAAAAATGCTGTCTTAAAATCTGTGTTTTTTTTTCCGTTATCTAATGCTACGTTCACACCGGACGCAGCAAGGGCAGCAAAATCGCGTCTGCTGCTTCACTTTTGCTGCTTGTACCAGTTAGTTCTGACGCGCGGCTGAAGCAGCTTTGCTGCTCTGGCTGCGCAGTAGGTCTAACGCGCGTTGGGCGGAGCTTCACTATCCTTTCTCTGCCTTGCTGTGATCAGTGGGAATAAAGTAGTTTTAATATGTTTTAAAGTGAGAAAATCCACCGGAAAACTTCATCAGTGCAGTCAGTTCATCCAGATTACCATCCTGCCTTCCAATATTAGTTCTGTGGGAGACGCTCAGACCCCCACATACCAGCGGTGCGCTGTCAGTAGGAATCCCTTCATCAGCAGCCTCTGGCCGGGTCGCCTCCTCGCGGTTCACCGCGGCGGCTGGTAGGTGTTTTTCATCTAAATAATCCAAACTGCAGGCAGCAGGATAATAAAAGCGAACATATTCTGCCGGCAGATTTCTGCATTTGAAGTTAATTTATGCATCAATAAACTGTTTCAGAGGAGTGATCACAGCGCTCTGTATCATCAGCGATGTGTTTGTCTCTCTGCCAGCTCCCAGATCAGCTTCTCTTATTGGTTGGCGCGGCGCGTCGAGCAGCAAAAGTTAAATTTTTCCATCTCGAGCAGCAGCGCGTCAGATGCTTAAATGCGCCTGACGCGCTGCTTTAGCGGCTCAGACGATGCGGTACATTTTGCTGCGCCTTGACGTGGTCAACCATTGACTTTGCATGTAAACTCGCTGCTTCTGCTGCGCCTGCTGCGTCCGGTGTGAACGTAGCATAATGCAGGCCAGTTAGTTATACGTCAACCTGAACACCTAAATTCGGCCAATCATATATCAACAGTAATCTGTCAATCACATTTTTTTGGTCATTGCATCTTGATTCATATGTCACAGCTAATATATGCAACAGTTGAAGTAATGAATAAGAATAATCTACTTTACTATTGAGATATGTCCTCTTCCACAACAACTTGGTTCCCATTTCCCCCATTTAAAAAGAAAAATGGATGAAGGAGGAGACTCATCCACGACCTCCGACACTAAACTCTCCTCCTCTTGCATGTTTCCGCTGTCCATAGCGTTCCTTGACAGTGTCGTTTCTAAGTCACCAGTTTAGTGCTACTTGGTCCCAATGGAATTTCCCATTGGGAACCTACTAGCACTAAGTTGCTAACTGGTTAGCAAGATGGTTCCGAGACACCAACCCACAACCAAATGAGCTTGCTAGGGCTGGGTAAAAAAATAGATTTAATCGATTTTGAATCGAATACTTTACATTTTTGCAGAATCGATGTCTAGGGAATGAGATCGATTAGTTTTATAGTGACCCGCGTGACGTTCACATTCAAATAAACAGGAAAGATGCTCTCAAGATGGCTTCAAGCCAGACAGCTGCAAATATAGCCAATAGGTTGACTGAAGACATGGGGGCTGACCAGAAAACACCCTGTAGTTGTTACAGACAACGCTGCAAATATAGTTTTTGCATTGAAGATAATGCAGCTCATGCATGTCTGCTGTGTCTCTGCCGTGTCACAACTGCGGCTTCACTTTTCACAAACAGGTTTGCACTCATGAGACAGTTTTGTTCACGTCTCAAGCTTAAACTGTCTGATTTACAAGTTTGCACTTTGTGTTTAATGTGACAGGAAAAAATAAAATGCATGAGTTGAACCACTTTCATTATTGTAAAAACAGATCGAATCGAAATTAATCGATTTAGAACTGTATGAATCAAAACCGAATCGATTCAGGACTTTGGCGAAAATACCCAGCCCTAGAGCTTTTGACCTTCCGCCACAACAATCCCACCCCCTTGATAAACGACCAATCACCTTCACTTTATTCACTCGTGTAAAGTCGGGCACCACTTCAGAAATATAACGGTTGGAAACGCCGTTTCTCTAAGACTTTAAAATATGAAGTACCTCCCCGTGGGTTATTAATCAGTAATTGTCAGCGAGCTGATCATCTGCGTGTGGGAATACTTCTGTCTGAATGTGCTGCCTGGGCTTCACTTAATAGCAGCCATTAGCTCAGATTAGCATCATTTTCAACATTTCTTATCTTGACAATTTAACAAGCAGAGCATGCTGTTGTGGTGATGTTATTAAGAAGCAAATAATTAAAACCTCTCCCTGTAATCTGTTTTAGCTAGTCATATTTTCCTGTTGCATAAAGTCTGTTTTCTACATTACTAACAGTGACTAAGGTAGACATATTTTTTTTCCATTTGATTATTTTGATATCTATGCTCTGAACATTGCTCAATCTGTTAACACTCAGCTAAAATATGTTACGCTGCTTTTATTTAGTAGATCTCATTTTGACCTGTTTTCTACTGGGAAATGCTTTATGAACACTTATTAATTCACTTATAAAATGGTTGCTTGCTTTATTGAGGGTGCTATGAAGTTCCCATCAAGTTTCCGAACCTTCAACAAAGAAACAAAATGTGGGGACAATTCCTTGCTTACTTACTTAAATGTTTAATCTTTTGTTGCTCATTAGTTCTTTAACTCTGTATAACCTGCTAACTAAGTGAGCAGGTTTGAACTGAATTGGTTGGTTCAGTTTTACGGTAGATATGCAACCAGCAGGGGACCAAATGCACATCCTAGATGAGCATCTTTATTAGGTTAAATGGAGAATTGTCTGTACATATATATTTTGTGGGTTTACATTAAGTCCTGTTTTACACCAATGATTTTTTTTGTCAAAGCAATTATGTAACTTATAAATTGTTTTGTTTTTGTTGCAGAAAAATCCAGAGCCGAGCTAGAACAAGTTCCAAAGGTCAGACATCCTTTTTTTTTTTTTACTATCAGCTACTGTTTCATATTTTAGGTGTTGTTGACCTTTTTATTTTCTGGCCCAGCTGTCTGTTAGTTTACAAGGTGTGATGTCAGCACTGTGCTGGAATCATATGCAGTTTTTGTCATGATTTGATCCTCTGAAGGAGAACAATCATTGTGGAAATTAAACCAACAAATCCTCCTGATCAGAAGCTAGTTTCTTATTCATTTATTATTAATATATCTTGTAGTGTTTGATTGTTACCTAAAACTTAAAAAAAGACAGGTTAACCTTTAAATCCTGAAGAAATTGGTTCTGGGAGGTTTTTATCACATAAGGAAAGGTTTTCCAAAAAAGTTTGAAGACGTTTCGCTTCCCATCCAGGAAGCTTGTTCAATTCTAAATGTCAGGAATAACGTTGAGTTTAAGGCTTTATACAGCAGCCCAACAAAGCCTTGTTTTTTATTTGAAAAACTGCAAATTGAGGACCAGAATGTTCACATTATGGACAAAGAAAATAGTTTGAGAGGGGAGTGAAGGAAGCTATCTATGTTGGGGAAGAAAAACCAACCTTAAACAGAGGGGGATGGACTCAGATTTCAGCTTTCAAAAACCTACAATGCAGCAATTGAGTTGATTCCTACCTTCTATTAACACAACCCCAACCCCTCTATAGGAGAGCAGAAGGCCTCGCCTATTCAGGCAGGCCAACAATTCCCTTAAATGCCCCCCTTTCAGAGACATAGACAGGCATGGGGCATTGCAGGCTAACAAAAGAAGCCAAACGATCCCCATTCTAAAGGGGGGGACCCGTTCCTCCGTTTCGATTTGCATGTTTTTTCTAAACTAAAACGAAGCTTTGTTGGGCTCGTCTTTAAACTTGGAAACAAAGTCCAGTGTTTATTTTATTTTATTTTATTTTTTACTTTTTTGGAATTACTATGACCTGGATGACTGAGAATCTTCACCAGCTTCTGGAAAGGTTTTATTTAAAGGCGCTGTACCCGATTCTGCAAAGTAAGCCCCGCCCCTAACCTTCGCCCATTGAGACACTTTCCTTTCACTCCACATGCAGGTGATAACTTGCACATCTCCTAATAAAATTAATGAAAAGGTTCCTGTCTAAGAAGACTACAGCCAGATTTGAGTCCTTCTTCGGTCGTTCTTGTTTTTCAACTAGAGCTGAAACAATCGGATTAATCATGATTAATCAATTATGTAAAAATTTGTCAACTAATTTAATAATCGATTAATCGTTAACTGTAAATGTAGAGACTCTAAAACATGCTTTAGCTGATAGAATAACCCACGTAGAGCAGCAATTATACCAAGATTGTAAAAAATAAATAAAATAAAAATAAACTTTTTGCATTTAAGATAAAAAAAAAAATTGTCCTTTAATATTCTCTATCCAGAACTCCACAAGAGGAAAAGTTTTAATTTCACCTGGTTTAATTTCATAAAAAAGACTCTTTGGGTATCAAATTATTAATCGATTAATTAAAAAAATAATGGACACTTTAATAAATTTGCAACATAATCTTTAGTTGCTGCCCTTGTTTTGACTTCTTCCTCCATTTTGATCCTTTCAGGCTGTTTAGCTGCATATTCAGAAACAGCTAGTAGGAGTATAGCAACTTGTTGGCCGCCATGCTTCTTTGTGCACAAGAAGCATGCAACTAAAACATCCCACATTAAAAAATGCTCTCAGTACCTGATGGGAAACGAGAAGCTTTACAGAATCGACTCCATTTTCAGAGAAAACTGTAACGTTAAAGTTAGAAGCCTACAATAAAAAATGCTTTAATAAAAAAATTAAAGTAATTTATTTCAATAAAATGACCATTTAAAAACACTTTTCTTAGAGAGATTAAAATGTAATCAGGTAAAAGTCCTCAAATGAAGCCATATGTATTCAGTAAGTCATCTACGATAAATTGGTTGTTCTGTTTTTTATGTGTGGATTTATTTCTTTTTAGATTTTTATGAGGCCAGAGTTTGCTTTGGAGGATCCGGCTACTTTCAACACTGTGCTGCCTTGGTCACACTTTCACAGCGCGGGGGGGAAAAGCCGAGACGTGGCTTCTTCTAAACTGCTTCAGGAAAAGGTGAACCCACACACACCCGTCCGAGGCTATCAATCCTGTCTAGAGTTTTGGGACTTTATGCTAAAAGTTTAGTTAAACTTTATTTCCTTAGTGAAATTATAGAATCATTTAATTTTACCAAATATGTGAATTTTTTCTTGTGTCTTGAAGCGATTTCTTAAATGTTGATGTTTATTTTCTCTCTCCTCTCCTCCAGCTGAGTCACTACCTGGACGTAGTGGAGGTCAGCATCGCCCGGCAGATCTCGCTGCGCTCCGAGGCGTTCTTCCACGCCATGTCCTCACAGCACGAGCTGCAGGACCAGCTGCAGGAGACGCAGCGGGCGGTGGCCGTCCTGCGGAGCCGGACGGCGGCGATCGACCGGGTCATGTGCCAGGGGCCCCTCCGGGCCCTCCGTACCGCACTGACTCGCAACAACTGCGTGAAGCTGCACAACAAACTGAAGCTGATGGCGGCGGTCCATCAAACGCAGCCCACCGTGCAGCTGCTCCTCTCCACCTCTGAGTTTGTGGGAGCTTTGGAGCTCATCTCCACCACCAAGGAGGTGCTGCAGCAGGAACTGCAGGGAATCCACAGCTTCAGGTAGGAAAGCTTCTCATTAGTTATGCGTTAGGCGTGGATTTATTTATATTACAGCTGCAGATTTAAGCTTAAACAGTCAATAATTAGTATTAACCTTGCCCTGCCCTGCCTTGTGCTTGTCCCTCAGACATCTGGGCTCCCAGCTGTGTGAGCTGGAGAAGCTGATCGACAAGATGATGGTGGAGGACTTCAGCATGTATGCACGCAGCGACCTGAACCGCAGTCTGAGGGAGGAGCCGCAGGTGCTGGAGAAGGTCGGTCATCAACGCCTGTTTGCTTTAACTGACATTTATCCCTACAGCAGCTCAGCGTTCTTGACACCAAAGCTAGGCAAGGCAAGGCAAATTTATTTGTATAGCACAATTCAGTACAAAGACAATGCAAAGTGCTTTACATGATTAAAATACAGGAAGATAAAACAGAATCAAAGAAAGTAGGAAACAAATAAAAAAATAAGGCAATCCTAAACAAATGTGTTTTTAGTCTTGATTTAAAGGAACTCAGGCTTTCCGCACTTTTACAGTTTTCTGGAAGTTTGTTCCAGATAAGTGGAGCATAGGAACCAAATGCTGCTTCTCCATGTTTAGTTCTGGTTCTAGGTCTGCAGAGCAGGCTGGAGCCAGAAGACCTGAGTGGTCTGGAGGGTTGATACACTGATAGCAAGTCTGGGATGTATTTAGGTGCTAAGCCATTCAGAGATTTATAGACTAACACAAGTATTTTAAAGTCTATTCTCTGAGATACAGGGAGCCAGTGGAAGGACTTTAGAACTGGGGTGATGTGCTCTACTTTCTCAGTCTTAGTGAGGACACAGGCAGCAGCGTTCTGGATCAGCTGCAGCTGTCTGATCCACTTTTTAGGCAGACCTGTGAAAACACCGTTGCAGTAATCAATTAGACTAAAAATAAACGCATGGATTAGTTTTTCCAGATCATGCTGAGACATTAGTCCTTTAATCCTGGAAATGTTCTTCAGGTGATCGAAAGCAGACCTTGTAATTGTCTTTAAATGCTTTTGGAGGTTCAAGTCTGAATCCAGTATACACCTAGACTTCGGGCCTGATCAGTGGTTATTAGCTGAAGCCACTGAAGCTGTGTGCCAACTTTAGATCTCTCCTCTATTGGTCCAAAGATTATTACTTCAGTTTGGCACATCCAGGCATTGATTTCTTCTAAGCACTTCCTCAGTGCTTGAATTGGTTCATAGTCACCTGGTGACATGGTGATGTAAAGCTGTGTGTCGTCTGCATAGTTATGGTAGCTGATGTTGTTTTTTATTAACTGAGCAAGAGGGAGCATGTAGATATTGAATAGGAGGGGACCCAGGATGGACCCTTGGGGAACCCCACATGTGATTTTTGTCATTTCTGATGTAAAGTTGCCTACTGACACAAAAAAGTCCCTGTCCTTTAAGTAGGATTTAAACCAGTTGAGAGCTGTACCAGAGAGGCCCACCCAGTTTTCCAGGCGTTCTAACAGGATGGAGTGATCGACAGTATCGAATGCTGACCTGAGGTCCAATAGTACCAGCACTGTGGTAGCTGTTCAGTTTCAAGGCCCCCCCTCACGCCTGAATTTCCCACTTAAATTCTGCCAAGCATGTATTTATTCTCTTGTCGTCTTTGAAAATATAAAAACTAAAAGAAGGATTTTAGGTCTGGCGTCTGCGCTCCAACTGATAAATTAGTCTGGCCTGTTTAGTTTATTCTGCTCTTTAGTTTTTATTATTATTTGAAGGTTTTCAAAAACTAGGTTGATTCTGTTTTTAATGGATGCTGTGCTCGTCACAGGTCCATCTATCAAATGCTGCTTCTCAAAAGGTGGGACACGCATACACACACACACACACACATAGAGCTGATAAGTTGAATCAAATTCTTCCAATCCTTGAAATAAATCTCCTGTGTCGCTGAAATCGGGCTCCAAGTTTGCGAATCAAACGTACTTGAAGATGATTGTCAGTGTTTGCATTGTGGGTGGAGCTAACTGCTGAGGGCAGCGCCAGTGCTCATCATAACACCCCTGATTGCTTTTCTTAAAATAAGTGCATTTTTTTTCTGTAATTGAGGAGGTAAGTGAGACACTTTGCCAATAGAACAAGGCAATTTACATCTAAAATAAGAAAAAAGCAACTGCAGTCTCTTATTTCTAGTGCATAATATCTAATTATCTTATTTTAAGGGTAAAAAATTTTCCTTCCTTGGCAAATCGTCTTATTTTCCTGCTCAAATTAAGGGTGAATACACCTAATTTAATGATTTTTAATTTAATTTGATCTTTTAAATATAATCCCAGCATGTATTGGTGATTTAAACATCCTCCTCCGCTCTCATCGTCCTGCTCGTCGTTTATAGACTCAGGATCTCCTGCTTCTCTCTTGCATTCAAAGGAGCGTCTGGAGTCGCTGGCGTTGGGTCTGCTGCGGCAGAGGAAGCTGGACTTCCTGGATATCTACAGCGATGAGATGATCTCAGCTGCTAAGGCCATCGTCTCACAGGTATGACTGGTTTCTAACTGCATCTCAGACCAAAGTGTTCTTCTTTCTTTGATTCATTGGTGCTTTTTGTGTTTTATTTTTTATTTTTGTAGTGTGTTGCAGACTGTGTTGTGCACATGGAGGAAATTGACACTGAAGTTATCGTTAAGTAAGTCATCTGATCTGTGCAAAGATTCTTTTAGCGTCTCTCCCAATTAATTGCTTAAACTGACCCTAAATTGGAGCTGGATGTCTCTAGATCTATTAAGCAACTGCTGTCTAACTTATTACTGCATAAACGGCTCAAATCTTTTATAAGAGCAACTTAGTAATCTGTAAAACTCTGGATTTAACAGTAAAGGTGAGTTTATTTACCTTTACCTAAGTAACATGAAGTGGCATTAAGGCAACGTAAATAAAGAGAATAAAAAGGGAAAATAAAATAAGATGATTCTATTAAAAGATATAATTGTGGATTTAAAAAAAGAAAGGAAAAGTTGCACTAAAAAGTTGAATTATGTTTGGATAGCACAGTCAAAGGACACTGGGAGTTTATTTCAGCCTAAGAACTAAAGACTTCTTCTCCATGTATGAATCTGGTTCTGGGTTTGGAGACGATATTGGAGCCAGAAGACCTGAAAGGTCTGGCTGTTGATCCACTGACAACAATCTGTAATGCATTTTGGAGCAAAGCCACTCAGTGATGTATAGACTGACAATACAAATTTTGTCAAATATATCAGATTTAGCTGGTTCCACGTGTTTGCGTGGAACTGCTCCTGGTTGATCCTAAAGCTGTATGTTCAGAACAGAAGCAGCTAGAGAATGGGAAAATGCAAATTTTAAGATAAGTGGCTGGAAAAGAAGAAATTCGGGACATGGCTGCAGCCTGTCGATGGTAAAGATTATGAAGGATTTGGCCGTGTTTATATATATATATATATATATATATATATATATATATATATATATATATATATATATATTTTATTTATTATTGGGGGTGGAACGGTTCACAAACTTCTCGGTTCAGTTCGGTTCACAGTATCGTGTTCACGGTGTTCGGTTCAGTATATGTTGTTACACCGAAAAATATTTTTTTTTAATAAAAATTAATGAAAAAATAAAAATTTATGAAAGTAATGAGAAAATCTAAAAAAACTAATGAATTGTAATTATTTTTAATGATCTGCGGATCCGCGGATTTCGAGGTTAGCCTGACATGTTGGTCATGCTGCTGTTAGCATAAACAAAATGTGTTGCACAATGTTTGCACACTGTTTTTATCCACAACTTTCTTTCCGCCGTCATCGTAGGTCACTCTAAATGCAAAGTGGTCCCATACAGCAGACCTATAAAGTGCTGCTGGCGCGTCTTCCAACTCCTGTTCTTTCCCACTCGCCATACCCACACAATTCTCCACAACTGATTTTTTTCTGCTACACCCGGCTCCGCTGCTTCGCTTCTTCTTCTTCGTCTTCTTTACTACTGATGGTTGGCTTTGGTCGCAGTACCGCCACCTTCTGCTCTGGAGTGTAAACGCTTCACCTATGAGAAAAAGGAGCAGCGCATGAACCGAACGCAACACACGCAAACCGAACCGAGACAGTCGAACCAAACGGTTCGGATGGATTTCATAAACCGTTCCATCCCTAATATATATAAGTTGTCGCAATCAGGTTTTTCTTGTGAATTTGGTCTTAAATTTTTATTTCAAGTGGCATTAAAAAGTCTTAAAAAGTCTTGAATTGAACTTGCCTTATGCTGTAGGAACCCTGAAACAAACTATTGGTTTTCTGTTAGCCGTGTCACACAGCGAGCTGGTTTGTCAGGTATCAATATTCATCTAAACACAAAAAGAGATGGACTGCTCTAACTCTGAGATATGAAAGCCCAGGGAGTGGATAGGTGGAAAAAATACAGATTATCCAGAAATAAATCTTTTTAAACGTAAAATTTGATTAATGAATAAACTCGGCTTATTACCCTAGCCTTAGTTCAGCTCTACTCGCCCTGATGTTGTGTTTTTTGAGGAAAAACAACATTTAAAACTTGTCATAAATGAGGAGCTTCTGTCTGTTGCATTAAAACCGGAATCAAATGTTTTTGGATGTTGAAAGAAAAACCTGAAACTGTTTGTCTGAATATGCTCCGAATCCCTTAGTTCTTAAACTGTTTCCTGTTTTGTCATCTTTTTGTTTAAGGCTAGCTGACCAGATGCGTCAGATGACATTCCCTCAGTGGTTCGAGGTGCTGGAAAACATCTTTGAGAGTTTCCTTCTCTTCCTGCAGAGAATCAAGGTCAGGAAAACTCAGTTTCACCGTTTCTCTTGTTCATTTGGGTCAATGCACTAAAGTGAAGCAATCTATTTCCTTATTTTGTTTGCTAGGACACTTTAAACGTGATCAGGAATGTAGTTCTTCAAATTCTCTCTTCGAACCACAAAAATCGACTCCTTGCAGAAAGTAGTTTGGTGTCGGCGGGCCCAGAAGCCTCCCAGGGTCCGCTGGGCTCGCAGGGGGAAGCTGAGCTGGCTTATCTCACCCATGAAGGTTTGTTCATCAGTGACGCGTTAAGTGAAGCCCAGCAGCAGGAGTCAGCGACTGCGGGTCAGGATCAGCGCTCCGCAGCGGGCTGCAGGTTCCAGCAGAACCGGACTGAACCTGCGGCAGAGAGCGACTCTTCCATGGGATTTACAGAGACGTCTGCCGGCAGAGAACACAGCTTCATGTATGTTACTTTTTATTTAGGAAGAAGCGTTTCTTTAGACTCACAGACAGAAATTACCTTTAAACTACTGGTAACAGAACTATGATCAGAGGAAAGAAAAGAGTGAATGTTGACTGTCTGTCCAGATCTGGAGACAACTTGATGCCCACTGAGGCGGAGCTGAACCGCCTGATCAATGGCCTCCAGGAGCTGCTGCACATGGCCTCCGACGTCAGCCACGACCGCTGCGTTAAAGTCCTCACTGCGAGAGCCAAGGTACGCCGCGTCCAGACGATGTATCATGCATTGTTATTGGCAGGAAGAGGGTTTTATCATTTTACGACGACTTTGCTCACGTTTCCCTTTAACAGGACGGCTCCCTGGAGCGCCTGAGCTCGGCAGAGTTTGTGTCTCTGTCTCGGGCGGTGGAGCGCTTCGTCAGGGATACAGAGGAGCTGTGTGGCAGGCGAAGCGTCTCCCTGAGGGGGGCGCTGCAGAGCCAGGCTAACCGGTTTGTCAACCGTTTTCATGAAGAGAGAAAGACCAAACTAAGGTACTCCTTCTGCGGTGCGAATGTAACCTCTTTTCTGAAATGAACCAACCTGAAAACAGCGATTCCGGATTTATGAATTGGTTTTTCATCTTTGTATTTTAGCTTTGTTTCTGATTAGGTTTTTATATTAAATCTGTCAGGTGAGTTTACCATGACTAAATCTGATTTATTTATGGGTTTGTTGCCCTCAAGGCCAACTCTGCAAGCTCCAGTGCAATTAATAACCAATTGATAGGTGGACCTGTGATGGTAGGAAAAATAGGAAGCAGCTCCCGACTTCATGACCAGCCTGCACACAGTTGTCTTAAATTAAAACAATATGGTTTAACTCGCGATTCAGAGATTTAATTCAGTATTTCCCCACTGTGGATGGGTTTCACTTTGCCACTGTGTTGATCTTACTAAAATAGACCAGGGGTCCACAGTTGGAGCTTTTCAAGCACAGGTACAGAGGATTATGTTCAGTCTGACCAGTTTTACACATTTTCAATGAGCTCTAAGTACGACCTCATCATTCAATTTGATTTTCAGTCACATTGGAGGCTAAGTTGTGTCCAGTGTGTTCAGGCCTTTACATGTGAGCTACGTTCAGGGTCTGGATAAGTTGTGGAACATATTTCTAAGCTTAAATCAGTTTCTAAAATTAGTCTCTTCCTTCCTTCCTTCCTTGGTTCGTTCCTTTGTTCCATCCTTCTTTTTTTCCTTTGTTCATTCCTTCCTTTGTTCCTTCGTTCCTTTGTTCCTTCGTTCCTTGGTTCATTCTTTTGTTCCTTTCTTTGTTCATTAGTTCCTTCCTTTGTTCGTTTCATTGTTTGTTTGTTCTTTGTTTGTTCCTTCCATCTTTTGTTCGTTCCTTCCTTCCTTGGTTCGTTCCTTTGTTCCATCCTTTTTTTTTCCTTCCTTTGTTCCTTCCTGTGTTCATTCCTTCCTTCCTTCCTTGGTTCATTCTTTTGTTCTTTTCTTTGTTCATTCCTTTGTTCTTTTCTTTGTTCATTTGTTCCTTCCTTTGTTCGTTTCTTCCTTTGTTTATTTGCTTTTTTGTTTGTTCCTTTCATCGTTTGTTCCTTCCATCTTTTGTTCGTTCGTTCCTTCCTTCCTTCCTTGGTTAATTTGTTCTTTCCATCCTTCCTTGGTTAATTCGTTCCTTCCTTCCTTGGTTCATTCGCTCTTTCCGTTGTTCGTCCCTCCCAATTTTATCCAGATTACTTCCCTTTTAATTTCTTGCATAGTTTTATATTACATCTAGAGAAGTGAGATGAATAGGTTTGGCATCTCATGTCTTTTGCACTGCTGTTCTATTCCAGTGCTGAATTTCTTTCTGTTTGCTGCTTCTGAATGGTTTCCTGATGGCTTGTGGTTAATGTCGTTGTTATGCAGCCTCCTCCTAGACAACGAGCGCTGGAAGCAGGCTGAGGTTCCAGCAGAGTTCCAGGATCTGGTTAACTCCATCGCCGACGGCAGGATATCCCTACCTGAGCGCAAAATGTCAGGTCGGTTTAGCTGGTTGCAGTCGTTTACAGTCTGCTCCATCCAGGCACACGTTAAGCCATTCTCTCTGTAACATTTCCTCTGCCTCCAAACACTGAAACTATAAACCAAGGAACTAGCTTATACAGATAAACTCCAAGGCTAAGAGCTCTTTACTCCACAGGCCAAGAGGAAAAAAAACCTGCAGAGTTTCTGCTCGTTAACGGACAGAAATATGCTGTCGTTGGGTAAGGGTTAGTAAACACCATGGAGACTTTAACACGCGCTGGTTTGTTTCCAACTGACACTTCTTTTCTTTTTTTTCAGAACTGTTTTGCTGCTGATCCGGATCTTTCTGGAATACTGTCAGTGTGTGACCGACATCCCGTCCATCACCACAGACATGTTAACTCGTCTGTCTGACCTGCTCAAGGTAATAAGCACCAAACCCTGCGGGTGGAAGCGGGGATGGTTCCTGACCTCGTGGCGTTCAAGCATGTTTGTACAGATGGTTCAAACGTTTCAGAACCAAATAGAGAGATCAGAGATACAGCCGCACAAAATATATCAGAAATATAATCAAAGCAATTAGAGGGTGTGGAGGGACGTAGGGTAATGAAGCTAAAATTTCAAACTCTTATCGATACCATTAACATTTTTAGATTATTTAACCATTTTTGAAACCATGGGGAGAAAAAATGACAAATATTTAAAGGCATCTCCCCCTTTTTTATGTTCTCTCATTCAGAGATGCCGCTGTAGGTACCAGATCTGCTCGGCTCCTGCTTCATGGCAGTGACGTTACGCCACATGATTGGCTGAACGTTGCCACATGATATAAAACATTGTGGTTGCCCAGACAACGATAATAACATCACGCAGCGTCCGTGTGCTGAGTCGGGAGCTTCTGTAGCGTTAGCGTGTCTAATGACCGATGAAGTTTTACCTGATTGATTACAAAACTGAAAAAAAAAAAATCTGTTTATTGTGAACCATGTAACTGCATGACAATAAAACAAACGGGGAGTGCTGTGGCTTGCTTGTTCTGTAGCTAACAGGTTAGCCTCTTTTAGCTCGGTCAGTTAGCCATATTAAGCTACACTAATTTAAACTTTGTGTCAACAACAACCGTTCATTTTCTACAAGTAGAATAAACGTTTTATTTGTCTAAAATCTCTACGAAAATAATTTTTAAGGTGTCCCATTGGTCCTCCGCTGCCCTCAGATCTTAATAAAAAGAATAAAAATAAGCTGAGAGTTTTTTTTGTCACCTTCTTAAACAGCAGAGCTCAGTCTTAGAACGCAGTACTTTCCTTCAAGACTGACAATGATTGTTTTCTATTTTCGGCTACTTTAGATGGCCGCTGAAATGTAAAATAGTAGCAAATATAAGTAATAATATGTTAAAGGAATAGTACACCCAAAACATGATTAGCCTTCATTTTCTGCTCACCCCCATGCTGAACAACACTCTGGAGTACTTTTTTGATATCTCAAATGCATCTGGAGATCTGGGAGGCTTTTTGCTGTCTGCTGACATTCAAATAATGGAGGTCTATGGTGACCGAGACAGAAAGGTCCATAAAAGTCCACAAAAAACGTGTCAATATTCCTCCATACTGCTCGTCCAATGTATTCCAAGTGTCCTGAGTGGGTAGCATCCAGAATTTACTCGAAACGAAGTCATTTAGAATGTTTTTAGAGCATAAACAGTAGTGTATAGGATTTCCTGAAAGCGCGCAATCGCACGCTCACGACGCTACGGAAGCCGGCAGACCAAACCAGATGAAAGTGCGCATTCAGCGTCTGCTCTGCCAATAATGCAAGCGTAGAAGAAGAAATGTGCTGTTTACCTGTGCAAAGAAAGAAACAACGAAAGAAAAATGTCTGAGGACTTCAGTGTTGAGGAAGAGCATGAGTTCTTTGCCGAGCTGAATGCGCACTTTCATCTGGTTTGGTCTGCCGGCTTCCGTAGACTCGTGAGCGCGCATGTGCGCGCTTTCAGGAAATCCTATACACTACTGTTTATGCTCTAAAAGCATTCTAAATGACTTCGTTTCGAGTAAATTCTGGATGCTACCCACTCAGGACACTTGGAATACATTGGACGAGCAGTATGGAGGAATATTGACCCGTTTTTTGTGGACTTTTATGGACCTTTCTGTCTCGGGCGCCATAGACCTCCATTATTTGAATGTCAGCAGACAGCAAGAAGCCTCCCAGATCTCCAGATGCATTTGAGATATCAAAAAAGTACTCCAGAGTGTTGTTCAGCATGGGGGTGAGTAGAAAATGAAGGCTAATCATGTTTTGGGTGTACTATTCCTTTAAGACTCCAAAAAAGGATCTGATCTTTAAGACGGTGCAATAAAGTTTGTCTGAGTGGAGTTTCCATATGATGACGTCATAAGAAAAGGGCAGCGGTTAAGTAAGTGTTCAAATGAATGCAAAATAAAAAAATATATAAATAAAAGAAAAACTGTGTTTTTCTTTCAATGTGCAAATAATTCAGAAATCTAAAATAAACAGCAGCAAAAATCTGCAAACAACACTTAATTATCAGTAGAAGGCCAAATCAGTCTTGTATTTAGATAGTTTTTGAGTTAAGAAACTTTATAGAGTGTAGATATGTTTGACAACCCCAGAGGAAAGTTGTTTTTTGTTTTTCTACTTTTTCTAGCGTTCATATTTAACAGAGCGTGACGATTTTTGGTAGATCAGTGACTGATTTGAATGTCTTGTTTCAGCACTTTAACTCCCGCAGCTGCCAGCTGGTTCTAGGAGCAGGAGCTCTGCAGGTCGTCGGCCTCAAAACCATCACTACCAAAAACCTTGGTGCATATTAACACTGCAGTTTCCCCTTTACTCCTCCTGAAGCTTTTCTATCCGATTTTGACTAAAGGAGTTTTCTTTCTTTATGTGCTTTTAGCATTAGCATCCCGCTGTCTACAGCTGGTGGTTCACTACATTCCCATCATCAGAGCTCATTTTGAGACCAAACTGCAGCCCAAACAGTTCAGTGTCCTCAGACACTTTGACCACATCACCAAGGTAACAAAACGTTACACATTATATTTAGACCAAATCTTTGCTGTTCTAATGATCCAAAGATCTCAGGAAGAACGACATCTGAGGAGGTTTATTGTTTTGCAGGACTACAACGATCACATAGCGGAAATCTCTGCAAAGCTGGTGGCCATCATGGACAGTTTGTTTGAGAAGTTTTTATCAAAGGTAACAACAGCAATTGTTTTTTTTGTTTTTTCCTACAGAAATCTGATAGATCAGGTACTGCTCATTTAACCCCGGCTCTTCATCGCTCTGGTCCTAGACACTGTTATTGAGCTTGTTCCAACATTGGGGACATTTTCTAACTGCCTTATTTATGAATGATTTTATATATAGATGTTCTTGGGGTTGTTGGTGAACGCACTAGTGTGAATGTCCAGTGAGGTTTTAAAAGGAAGTCGGTGTTAGAGTGCTCTATAAACGACATAATTTCCGTCAGAGATCAGATGACATAACGGCTTTCACAGTGGGGAAGTACGCTTAAGCAGAAAAACAGGAAGCTAAACTAATTACCTGCAGCTGAGTTCCACTATACGACTTTTCCTGTGAGATATAGTTTCTCTGGAAAGATTTTTATCTTAAACCTAAGCTAACAACATCAATAAAGAACTTTTATGATGAGGTAATTAATAAGTAGTGTCTTATATCCTGGTGATTATCAACAGTCATTTGTTTTCAGGTTTGAAAACGTTTCGCTTCCCATCCAGAAGGCTTTTTCAGTTCAAAATGTCAGAAATAGCGTTGAGTTGCTTTATACAGTAGCCCAACAAAACATTGTTTTTTCTTAGAAAACATGCAAATGGAAACGGACGAACGGGTCCACCCCTTTGGAATGGGGGTCATTTGGCTTCTTTTGCTAGCCTGCAATGCCCCATACCTGTCTATGTCTCTGAAAGGGTGGTCGTTAAAGGGAATTGTTGACCTGGCTAAAATAGGCGAGGTCTTGTGTTCCCCTATAAAGGGTTTGGGGTTGCGATGATAGCTGGAAGGAATCAACTCATCGCTGCATTGTAGGTTTTTGAAAGCTGAAATCTTGAGTCAACCCCCTCTGTTTAAGGTTGGGTTATCCTTCTTATTATAGATGACTTCCTTCACGCCCCTCTCAAACCACCTTTTTTCTTTGTCCAAAATGTGAATATTCTTGTCCTTAAAAGAATGTCCATTGTCCATAAGGTTTAGACACAGTACTCGAGTTTAGGGGGGAATGAAATCCCCTTCTTAAAAATCATCCCCCCTTCTTAAATGACTATTCCCCCATACCATCCCCTGTGATATTTTGTCACTGAATGTGTAAAATTTCTACTATATATTAACAGTAATGACAATAATATTGCCCTTTCGACGTTTGGCAGGCGGACAAGTAGCCTACAAGTAGTCTGAGCAAAATAAATAAAATCAAAGAAGTGTCCGACCATGACTATGAAGCTGATCAGTGGGAAATGAGTCCCTAACTATGTAGGGGCGGTGATAGCCATGCTAACTATGTAGGGGCAGTGATAGCCATGCTAACTATGTAGGGGCAGTGATAGCCATGCTAACTATGTAGGGGCAGTGATAGCCATGCTAACTATGTAGGGGCAGCGATAGCCGTGCTAACTATGTAGGGGCAGCGATAGCCATGCTAACTGTCTAGGGGCAGTGATAGCCATGCTAACTATGTAGGGGCAGTGATAGCCATGCTAACTATGTAGGGGCAGCGATAGCCATGCTAACTATGTAGGGGCAGTGATAGCCATGCTAACTATGTAGGGGCAGTGATAGCCATGCTAACTATGTAGGGGCAGTGATAGCCATGCTAACTATCTAGGGGCAGCGATAGCCATGCTAACTATGTAGGGGCAGCGACAGCCATGCTAACTATGTAGGGGCTGCGACAGCCATGCTAACTATGTAGGGGCAGCGATAGCCATGCTAACTATGTAGGGACAGCGATAGCCATGCTAACTATGTAGGGGCAGCGACAGCCATGCTAACTATGTAGGGGCTGCGACAGCCATGCTAACTATGTAGGGGCAGCGATAGCCATGCTAACTATGTAGGGGCAGCGATAGCCATGCTAACTATGTAGGGGCAGCGATAGCCATGCTAACTATGTAGGGGCAGCGATAGCCATGCTAACTATGTAGGGGCAGCGATAGCCATGCTAACTATGTAGGGGCAGCGATAGCCATGCTAACTATGTAGGGGCTGCGATAGCCATGCTAACTATGTAGGGGCAGCGATAGCCATGCTAACTATGTAGGGGCAGCGATAGCCATGCTAACTTGGTAAAGGTCAGTGACCGGCGTACCTGACATGGAACAACCAGACCATGCATATTTCTTTTTGTTAATAGACTATATTATTTTGGCTATGTATGCTTCAAAAAAATATTCATCCATCCCCCTTCTTTTTTTTTTTTATACAACTAGACTACTGTGTAGACATCTACACCTTATTGACAAAGGACATTCTTTTAATATTCTTCTGTATAAAGCAACTCAGCACTTTTTCTGACATGTTGAATTGAAAAAACTTCTTAGATGGGAAGCGAAACGTTTTCAAACTTGGAAATAAAGTCCATTGAATTGTTTTTTTTAACTTTTTTGTAATAAGTAGTCTCTTGTTTTTGTTTCTCCTTGGTGCCTTCTGAATTATAGCAGCTTACAAACAAAACCCCGAATCTATCAACAGATCCTCCAACATGTTTGTTTGGTGTATAAATTCCTCTCATTTAGTGAGCATGTCCTTTATCATCGTCAGAGACCCACTGAGCTTTGCTGCGAGTGAGCAAAGATGCTATTTAAAAAAGATCTGCTGGGTGGAAGAACCTGAAGCTCAGGTGTATTTGTTTTTTTCCTCAGTATGAAGTGAAGGCCCCGATGCCATCAGTCTGCTTCAGGAACATCTGCAAGCAGATGGCCAAGATGCATGAAGCCATCTTTGACCTTCTGCCTGAAGAACAGACGCAGGTGAGACTTGGCTTCTGTTCATCCTAAATGTTTCCCCCAAACATTTAAAGGAACGAAAGTCAGCCGAGGCGTAACCTGGAGACATCTTTGTTTTGCTTTCTGCACAGATGTTGTTTCTGAGGATCAATGCCAGTTTTAAAACGCACCTGAAGAGGCAGCTGGCTCGACTCGGGGTCAGTAATGATGGAGGACCGCAGCATGGGTAACAAACTCACCTTATTCTTATTACTAATCTTTGTTTCTTTACTCTTCTAACCTGGTCGGGTCAGACAGATCCAAGCTGCTCTCTCTCTCTTTAGCCATTAAAACTGGAGCATATTTTACAGTTACAGGTGAATCTCAGTAAACTGGCCTCTTTATTAGGCAAACCCAGCTTTAACTATTCTAAAGTGATGCTTATCCTCCCACAGCGGTGTGTCGCAGTAGCTTGTCGCAGGTATGATGCAGATATTTTTGATTTATGCCCAATTTTGAAGCGTGGCGATATGTTATTCCACCCCAAAATGCAAGAGGGACAATCATGAACTAGTTAGGATTGTGGATGTCAGTGTGTCGGTTTGACGAGCTTGTTCGCCGTCTACAACCCTTCATCCAACGCCGGACGACACACAGTTCACCCGTGAGTGTTCCCCAAAGACCGGCCGTGGCCCTGCGCGTTTTGGCTTCAGATGCAAACCAACAGACCGTCGCACAGAGCTACAAACTTGGTGTGTGGGATAGTGTCTGAGAGTTTCTGCCATTAGGTACCAAACAGGAAACACGCATAGTGTAGAGCGAATTTAGAATTGACCAATCAGAGGCCCCCTTTATCTCCTCCCTGCTATGCTATCTGCAGCACTGTCTGCAGTCACCTATAATTTTGGGGAGGTGCACCAGAGAGTCTGCGGATGTGTGTGTGTGTGGTGGTGGGGGGGTTATGTGTGTTAACTGCAACACACACGCAGACGACCTGGTTTCTGAGTATAAACCATGCTTAAGTCTTTGAATCCATCCACTGATGCTAAGTTTTGATTTGTTTTCCTGCATTTTTTAACAATCAGATCTGAATCCAGCAGCTAATATTGACTCATCAGACCGAACAGCCAATGATTCAGGCGGAATGAGTCTCTGCTGCTGAAGCTCATCAGCTTCACGGTTGTATGTTCAGAGATGGCATCCTGTCTGCCTCTGTTGTTAAAGGTTGTTGTTAGAGTCCAGCCTTCATCATGGGAGTAGTTTTGCCCTGAATGTCTGAAGGCTTCATTAACATCAGCTATGACCTCAGTTCTCTGCACCTGCCTCTTGACAAACAAAATACGCCACCAGACAGGAAGGAGAAATGCTTTAATAATAATAATAATTGAACTCTTTTGATCTCATATTGGAGAAATTTTCCTCTGCATCTAACCCCTCCCCGTGGGGAGCAGTGTGGGGTTAAGGGTCTTTGCTCAGAGACACAGAGTGGCAGTCTGTGTGAATAGGGCTCGAACTCACAACCTCTCATTTTCTGATTTTTTTTCTTTTCTTTCTTCATAAAGATTGATGCAAAACTTTGATTTCTTCCAAAGTAATACTTGCAGTTTATCTAAAATATTTAATTACTTTACTGTAGAGTTTTAATTATAAACCAATATGAAAAAGACAGACCTCCCTCTACTTATTCTCACTCATAGTTTCTCTATTTCTGTTAAATCAAATTAGATGTAAATGTTTTGTATTTTCATGATGTGTTTAGTTTGTTTCTTTTCATAGCTTACATGTTTTTTTGTTTTTTTTCAAGAAAGTTCATAGGGGTTTCCTGATCCGATATTGATATCAGACATCAGCCAAAGGAGGAGTATCAGAATATCTAAAATCTCCAATACTATAAAACTAGAAACACGTAGCTGCTGTCCACTTATGGTTAAAGTTTGTGTAACTCCTTGGAGAATAATAAATGGATCTGTTGTTTTCATGCCTGATGTTGAGTATTGCTCGCTCAGAAAGCAATTCAACAGTAATAAAACCATGAACATTTTCTGCAAAATCAGTAGATTAATAAGTTTACTTTTCGTTCATCCAGAGTTCAAATAACTGCTCTCTTCTTTTTTTTTCATATCTTACATCAAGGAGTTCTGAAGTTGTTGCAGCAGCCAGAAATAAATTAACTAAAAGAAAGTGACTATACCTGGCAAAATTTTTACCATAAGTGGTGGAGGGGTATTTTATCATTAAATGTGAGAAAAAAAGGATAAAAAAAGAGGGAAAGCCTGAAAAGATCAGATATAGTCTTAAGATAAAGATTTTCTTTGCCTTTGAAGGGAGCGACTGGTTAGAAATTCCTCCCTGATGTATTACTATTTTGCATCATCCTGTCCAGCATCTTTATTTTATTGGCGAACTAGACGAGCGCTCTTAAACTAAACGGTACAGGCGTTTCGTGATTACCGCCTTAGCTACCCTTCTCACCTTTTTCCCCCGTGACCCATTTTCATGTCTGAACTTTCCATGGTTCTGTTTGGACAAACTAGCCTGAGACCATCCAGCTGCGTTAGCCTCAAGGGTCTCTGTCTGTCTGTCTGCTAGAAAACTGTTTACGTTGCCTCAGTGCAAAAACATTTCTAGCGTTTTCAGTAGCTCATTGGAAATAAATCCTGATTTCCTGGAATAATCTTGGTGTAAACTGTTTGCAGGCTTGTTGTTGTGGACGTGGCCTTCTACACCGAGAACATCCAGGCCCTGAAGAGCCTCGAAAGACTCGACCTAAACATGGCTGAGATCTGGGAGCAGAAGAGGTGATGGAGGATCGGAACCTCCAGATCAAACAATTCGCCCGCACCCAGAACGGAGGGGCGACCTTGGCCGGGAGCGGGCGGGGGTGGACGAGGCCCCCTGCAGGGACCAAAAACACTATTGTAGGAGCGGAGAGGCAGCAGGCTGGAGCCTCCTGCAGACTATCACCACCTCATCCCACTGTGTGCAGTTCAACAGAAATACTAGTAAATTATTGGAGCGGGTTAATGGGAGGAAGGAAGGATGGATGGTGGGCTAATTTATTTTTCTGACTTTTTTCTTAACTGGCTGTGACGGTAAAGGGGATTTTCTTACTTTTTATACTAACAAACAAGCAGCTTTGGGGGGGAAAAACCTGAAGAAGTTAAAACATCTCGACTGTGAAAGCATCAGAAACCTCAGCTTCGCCCCGTTTTTACCAAAGCAAAACAGTGTAGTGATGTTGGGATTCTGCTGCGTAACCAATCATTCAGCAGGGTTTTTAGCCGGCTGCTATTCTGGCTAAAATGTTGGCAGAAATTTAAAGAAGGCAGAGTAATCAGTCACAGGTGAGGGCTAACTGTCACACCGACAAAAACTCCGTCTGCGGCCGCTGTTAGCAGCTTTTCACTGGAAAATTGTGAAACAGTTGATGGGGTCGGATTAAATCCCCACATTTTTATGGTTCGGTGCGTTTAGTTCAGTAGCGGAGCATTTCCCTGCCTCAGCTGCCTCTGAACAATCAGTGAGAGGGAAAATAGAGGCGCTTCGCTCTCCCACAAAGACAAAAGCATCGAAATCCAGGGAGAGGAAGCTACTCAAAATTTGACGGGGATGTGTGCTGCTGTGCGTTCGCTGCCAGTTTGAAATCGGTGAACTGGAAAACATCTGAGCACATCTGTCTCCTGTTTGACGCTGAAAGCATGAACGCTCGTCACTGTTTGCTTCAGAAGTGCCTCTTTTACGAACGGCTGTTAGAGACCACGCATCAGAGCCGAGTGCCTACCATACCACTGTGTGTCTGCATGGGAGAGGGAACGCCTGAGTCCAGGAGCACGTATGAGAGTCCAAACCGCCGTGATTTTCAATCCTGCTGTGAATAAAATGGAATGATGGATGATTACATCTTTGGCTGCTTTGTCTTCTGTCAATCAGGTCGATTATTTGACATCTGATACTGTTTAAAAAAAAAACAAAAAAAAAAAACTCATCTTTTTTTAAAGAAGGAAACTTTATTTTCATGTTCAAATATTTCTAATAAGTGCAAAAAACAAACTTAAAAGTTCCCTTAGCATTTTATAATGTTTTTTCTGCATTATGCTGGTGAATATTCCCAGTCATCCAGGTCATGACAAAAATGTAAAAAAAAAAATCCACTGTACTTAATTTCCAAGTTTGAAGACGTTTCTCTTCTCATCCAGGAAGCTTTTTCTATTCAAAATGTCAGAAATACTGTTTTGTTTTTTTTTTTTTTGTTTTTTTTTTCCAATGAACTTTATTTTAAAGGAAATTAGTATACAACAAACAGCATAATGAACAATACAACATTCAAGCAATACAACCAGGGGTGATTAGATAAGAACATGCAAAGACGTACATATCGAGATTGTCCTTTGAGCCTTTTGATTTGTAGAGTCTGTTATTGATTTGACATATAGAGCCATATCTTTAATGAAAAAAGAAAAACAAGGTGTCCTATTAGCAAACTTGCATTTATGAATATAATATTTAGCAAAGAGTATTAGTACGTTTATTATAAAGAAATGATTAGCAACCTTTCTATGAAATCTATAGAAACAAAATAAAACATTTTCCCAGCATAAAGAAAAATTGTTTAAAATATGGTCAATAATAAACCTGCTAAATTCAGACCAAAACCTTTGTATAACAGGGCAGAGCCAAAAAAGATGTGTCACAGTTTCTGGATGGCCCTCACAGAAAGTGCAATTAGTGTTTATGTCGCGTTTATATTTTATCATATAATGTTTAGCAGGGTAAATTTTATGGAGAATTTTAAATGACACTTCCTTCACCTTGTTTATAATTAAATATTTATGGGGGATCATCCAAACAGTTTTCCAGTGAATATCTGGGATATAACGGCTCCAATAAAGTGTTATGGCTGGACGAGAAACAGTAAGTTCTTGGAATAATCTGCGTATTCTCTCATTGCTTTTCCTAAACTCCATTGAAAAACAGCTTTTTCCCACAGATGATTCAGTTAAAGCAGGGATAAAAGGAGGAACAGACAGAGTATAATTAGTGTTTTTAAACAACATTAAGGTGCCCAAAGGTACAGCATTAACCACCATGGAGAATTCCTGGATACTAACTGGAAAATTATATATCGAGCAGAATTCATTGTAATTGATTAATCGTCCTTCTTTATTAATCAGCTGAGCCACCAGTAAAATTCCATTTTGAACCCAAGTTTCAAGATAGAGTGACCTATTTTTAAATAGAATATCTCTGTTGTTCCAGATGAGGTATTTGTGAGGTGAGAAGTTATGTTTATAAATGAGCGTCCACGCTAAGAACACCTGCTTATGGAAAGATGAGAGTTTTACAGGGAGTTTCTCAACATTGTAATTACAATGTAAAATAAAGTTGAAGCCACCAAAGCATGAGAAAATGTGTTGTGGTATAATGTTCCAGATAGAGGTTGGATTCTTAAGGAAGTGTTTGGCCCATTTAATTTTAAATGTGTTATTTAGGGTAGAGAAATCCAGAAAGTTAAGTCCACCTGATTCATAATTATTCATAATAACACTTTTTTTGGTATAGTGAGTACGATTTTTCCATATAAAATGAAGAAGCGTACGATCAATATCTCTACAGATTTTATTGTCTAAATGTAAGGCGAGAGCAGCATAAGTCAGTCGGGATAATCCTTCAGCTTTAGAAATTAAAATTCTCCCTCTAAGAGATAAATCCCTCTGAAGCCACTGGTTCAGTTTACTTTTGGTTTTCTGTATAATTGGTATTAAATTAGAGGAGCATCTTAACTTCTGGTCTTTAGAGATTAAGATTCCTAAATAAGAAACTTCTTGTTTAACAGGAATATTGCAAATATCATTAGCATGACAATCCTTAATCGGTAGCAATTCACATTTTTTTAAATGTAAAAATAAGCCAGAGGCTTTGGAAAAAGTATTAATCACCTCTAAGGCCAGAGGGATCTGGTTTGCATTCCTTAAAAATAGTGTGGTATCATCTGCCAGCTGGCTGATTATGAGTACTTTGTTAGGTAAGCTGATTCCTTGTACGGTACTATTGGAGATATGAGTTGTAAGGATTTGAGAGCAAAGTAAGAATAAATAAGGTGAGACGGGACATCCTTGACGAATGCCACGTTTTAGGTCAAATCTTGGGGTGGTGCCGTTTGGCAATTTAATAACACTATTGGAGTTGGAGTATAATGTTCTGACTGCATTACAAAAAAAGGGGCCAAAACCAAATTTTATTAAAGATTGAAAAATGAATTGATGTTCTATTGTGTCAAAGACCTTATAGAAATCAAGGAAAAGAATAAAACTTTCATCAGGCACTAGATATGAATAATCAAGTAAGTCTAGAACAAGTCTAATATTGTTAGAGATGTGTTTGTTCCTCATAAAGCCTGATTGTGTCTCATCAATAACAGTGTCCAAAACCTCTTTAAGTCTGTAAGCAAGTATTGAAGCCATAATTTTATAATCATTATTGAGTAGACTTATAGGTCTCCAATTATCAATAAATAGAGGGTCTTTGTTTGGTTTTGGGATGAGTGTTATTAGGCCTTGAGTCAGGGTAGGAGGGAGAGTGTTGTTCTCTATACTTTCTAGAAATACCTGTAAGAGAAATGGAGCTATATGCTTAGAGAATGATTGATAAAACTCAGCAGATAAACCATCTTTGCCGGGGGATTTATTGGCCTTGAGTGCATTAATGCACTTAGAAATTTCCTCCACGGTAAATGGGCTGTCACAGTAATTTTTATCTTCTACATCAATAGTTTGTAAATTTTTTATTTTGTTAAGGAATGATTCTGATATCTCTTTATTATATTTTGAGCTGTATAAATTAGAGTAAAATATAGTACAAAAGGTTGCAATTTCTTTAGGATTGTTTGAGATAATGTCATTGATATTTAGTTGGTAAATAGAGTTTATTTTTGATCTGTATTTTTCAAGTCTAAAAAAGTAAGCAGAATTTTTCGTCGTTCTCCTTCTTCCAGCCAACGTTTCCTGGATCTGATGAAGGCACCTTCAGCCTTGTGTTTATAAAAGGCATCCAGTTTATTCTGTCAGAAATACTGTTGAGTTCCAGCCTTTTATTGATCCTCCTGCATTGATTTAATTGTGTCTCTTGGTATACAGTGACACCTACTGGCCAACTAGTGGAATTGCCCAAAAAAAATTTAGCCAGAAATAATCAGCACAATATTTATTAGTGGTATGATTAATAGTTGTAGGGAGGAGATCCTCGTAAATTGATGTCTTTGGTTTATCTAAAGATTTTTTCAGTTTAAATTATCTGGATTATAATGAGATACTTCTAGAGAAATTTGCTCTACTCCTAAAACAGCTATAAAAGAGATGCTTGTTTCATCTGATCCTGCATTATCATCTTAATGATACTGGTGCTTTGACTAGACCGTGGACTTTTTTTCCCCCATTCTTCTGTTCTCAGCTCGTCTTTGTTGGACTTACTTTTATTTTTCAGATACTTACAGGCTGGGACTGGTAATCTGGTGGGCCGTTCTTCCTTAACCCTATAATGCCAAATGTATCGTATTTGATACATACGGTTTCTGAAATGTTTTGCGTCTGACACCTTTTGCATAATTTAATGGTAAAATCCTATTGTACACAATCAGATATACCTGATAACAGAGGGCAGAAGACTACACAAAAAATAATCTTGACTTATCGCATAGTAACAAATTATTAATATCAAAAATGTATTTCTGTTTTTTTCTCTTTACATATTTTGTTAAAAGGGCAAATAAGGAATTCAAACCAAAAAAAAAAAAAAGTAATTTTCGGTTTTGTTTTATTCTTGGATCGGGCTTTAAAGGGTTAAATCATACCGGCCCTAACACTTCCTCTCCGGCCGAAGCTCCTACCTGTGACAGTAAATAACTCAAGGAGCTCAAGAAGTAATCCAACGTTAACTACCTAAGTGATGCATGCAGTATATATAGCCCTTCCTTTGTAATGAACATCCTTGTGATGGTTCGCATATGGTGTCATTTTCTAGTTCTTCAAACTGTAAAATCCTTGCATCAAAATAAATTATAATAAAACTAAAATGCTTTCTTTAAACCAAACTACGATGTTACGCTTATATTTGGTGAATTTTTGTCCAAATATTTTGCAAAAATATGTTGCGGTTTTGCGTCTAAAGGCCAATGTTTCCCATCTTACGTTTATTGTTGCCAGGTTGGGATGTTTCCCAATCTGGCAGTTTAGGATGGTCGTCTATGGGTAAAAAATGTTTTTTCTTTAGATTTATGGCCTAAGAAATCAGTAGACTTTGGTTTAATTTAGGCAAGATTTCATATACACTTGCACCTTAATCCTTATTTATCTTGATGTACTGTATATATATATATATATATATTGTTCTTAATGCACCACCTTCTTTAATTACTATGCCAATATGTGACCAGTGAATTTCTCCGCTGTGAGATCAATAAAGCTCATCTAATCTATATACAGGCAGTTTGAGAAGTTTTTTGGGCTGGAAAATGTGAGTAGGTGACATCTGGCAACCCTGCTGAAGTGAGCTTGGGCTCTTTCAAGCTGGGCACCGTTTCATTCACAACACCTGTCCCATCAACCAGGAATCAGAAATACTTTAATAATGCCAGGGAGAAATTACTTTCGTTACATTACTCCATCTGTAATAGAGTGACTATAGGACCAGTTAGAACTCTATTTCATACAATATATATAAAATTATGGGGTCCCTGCTCCATCTTGCATCAGTTTGGAGTCCTTGGCTTGGAAAACGCTGTACTAGCGTCTTATATTTTCCTGGTGCTGCTTCTGATTCACGGCAGAATTCAAGGATTCTTTGAAGAAGAGCTGGTCAGATCATCCCTAAACCATGATACTTCATCAACCTACTCAGTAGAAAAGCCTTTGTTTTCCTTCTACACCTCGCTTGAAAGATGAAAAAAATGCAGTCTGGTCTGATAAGCCTTTCACTTTAATATCAATATTAAAAGCCCAATGAGATTTAATGGTTTTTGGAGACTAAGCATTTACAGCCTGCTGTTCAAGAAAAACTTTCAATACAGCAAGTTTATTTTCCTAAATGAGCCTGATACGTCTTCCATTCCAAATCAGTAGTCAGCTGCGACTATCTTCTTTGACGCCCTCACAATAACATATTGTCACATTAACAGAAGCACAACAAGCTTTATTTCTGAGGTTTAAAGGTGTCTCATTTGCACCCGATGCAGATAATTTTACCAATTTCAAAATTGGTTAAAGGAATAGTACACCCAAAACATGATTAGCCTTCATTTTCTACTCACCCCCATGCTGAACAACACTCTGGAGTACTTTTTTGATATCTCAAATGCATCTGGAGATCTGGGAGGCTTCTTGCTGTCTGCTGACATTCAAATAATGGAGGTCTATGGCGCCCGAGGCAGAAAGGTCCATAAAAGTCCACAAAAACGTGTCGATATTCCTCCATACTGCTCGTCCAATGTATTCCAAGTGTCCTGAGTGATTAGCGTCCATAATTTACTCGAAACGAAGTCATTTAGAATGTTTTTAGAGCATAAACAGTAGTGTATAGGATTTCCTGAAAGCGCGCACCTGCGCGTTCACGACGCTACGGAAGCCGGCAGACCAAACCAGATGAAAGTGCGCATTCAGCGTCTGCTCTGCTGATAATGCAAGCATAGAAGAAGAAATGTGCTGTTTACCTGTGCAAAGAAAGAAACAACGAAAGAAAAATGTCTGAGGACTTCAGTGTTGAGGAAGAGCAGGAGTTCTTTGCCGAGCTGAATGCGCACTTTCATCTGGTTTGGTCTGCCGCGGTTTCCGTAGACTCGTGAACGCGCTTTCAGGAAATCCTATACACTACTGTTTATGCTCTAAAAACATTCTAAATGACTTCGTTTCGAGTAAATTATGGACGCTAATCACTCAGGACACTTGGAATACATTGGACGAGCAGTATGGAGGAATATTGACACGTTTTTTGTGGACTTTTATGGACCTTTCTGCCTCGGGCGCCATAGACCTCCATTATTTGAATGTCAGCAGACAGCAAGAAGCCTCCCAGATCTCCAGATGCATTTGAGATATCAAAAAAGTACTCCAGAGTGTTGTTCAGCATGGGGGTGAGTAGAAAATGAAGGCTAATCATGTTTTGGGTGTACTATTCCTTTAATTTTTTTTACAGCAATAGATGTGTGTGTGTCTATCTTGCAGGACGTTTAATACTTTATGCAAATCTTTCAGCGTCTTTTATGGTTGATATTAAAGATGCCCAACTGCAAAAACTGATGTAAAAATAAGTAAAACTTTCTCAAAATAAGTCATTTGAGCAGAGAAACTAGATAATCTGCATCTGGAAATTATTTTTGCCTTCAAAATAGATATAATGGAGTGGATTTTTCTTATTTTAGATGCAAGTCTTAATCCAGTGGCATTGGTTATTGCTATACGCTTCCGTAATTCTATCTTTAATATCTTTTTACAAAGAAATGAAAAGAAAAAAAATCTGACAGCTTATCTCATTACGAGATAAGGAGATTTTCCTCTCCACTGTCGCTACAAGCATGCTTAGTGTAAGGGATTGCTGAAGAGTCAATGAGTCGATGCAATCAGCTGGTTTTCCTTAGATGGAAAACTTTGAATCAATTTAACGGGATGATCTGGTTGAACTGTAAAGTGCCTTGAGATGACATGTGTTGTGAATTGGCGCTATAGAAATAAACTGAATTGAAAATAAGATCTCTTCTGTATAGAATAGATTTATTAAGAAAAAAAATTCAGTGTTGTTCCCAAACAGACCACAGAACGCTCCAATGACCAAACTCCTACAGTTTTATTGAGGAGAACATGTACCACATCTGGCAGCGAGTGTCTGCAGTAACAGAAGGTTCCCTGGCGAAGAACCGAAGGTCTGCATAGAAACATCAGCAGGACCGACCTGACCTAAACATTCACAGTGATCATACAGCATCAGCGCCACCCTTCATCTGCAGAGCAGGAATCTCTTTGTGCACGCAGCCTCTATCTGGTTCCTCAGTGATCCAGGATCCTCAGGTTTCCAGAGACGATCTTGTTCTCCAGCATCGCTCCTGCTGGAATGTCGATCCGGTCGCCGTGGTTGGCGATGATGATGACGGTTCCCTGGTGAGGATGAAGCATTTCATGATAAACATGAGATTAGTGTAGGTAGTGATGTTTTAATGAGGAATCTTGAAGAGTTTTGACACATTGCCAAACAGCATTGATGCCGTCTCACAGAATACTGACACCTGCTGGACATTTAAAGACACTACAGGCAGATTATTGGACAGACTGAATGAATGGATTTGATGACCTACAGTAGTACATTGAAATCATTGAAGTTATTGGAGGTTATATTGTACAGGTGCTGGTCATAAAATTAGAATATCATGAAAAAGTAGATTGATTTCAGTAATTCCATTTAAAAAGTGAAACTTGTATGTTATATTCATACATTACATACAAACTCATATATTTCAGATGTTTATTTTGTTTAATTTTGATGATTACAAATGACAACAAATGAAAATCTCAAATTCATCATATCAGAAAATTAGAATATTGTGAAAAGGTTCAAAATTGATGGCCCCTGGTGCCACACTCTAATCAGCTAATTAACTCAAACCACCTGCAAAAGCCTTTAAATGGTCTTTCAGTCTAGTTCTATAGGCTACACAATCATGGGGAAGACTGCTGACTTGACAGTTGTCCAAAAGACGACCATCGACACCTTGCACAAGGAGGGCAAGACACAAAAGGTCATCGCTAAAGAGGCTGGCTGTTCACAGAGCTCAGTGTCCAAGCACATTAATAGAGAGGCGAAGGGAAGGAAAAGATGTGGTCGAAAAAAGTGTACAAGCAAGAGAGATAACCGCACCCTGGAGAGGATTGTGAAACAAAACCCCTTCAGAAATGTGGGGGAGATTCACAAAGAGTGGACTGCAGCTGGAGTGAGTGCTTCAAGAACCACCACACACAGACGTATGAAAGACATGGGTTTCTGCTGTCGCATTCCTTGTGTCAAGCCACTCTTGAACCACAGACAGCGTCAGAAGCGTCTTGCCTGGGCTAAAGAGAAACAGGACTGGACTGCTGGTGAGTGGTCCAAAGTCATGTTCTCTGATGAAAGTAAATTTTGCATTTCCTTTGGAAATCAAGGTCCCAGAGTCTGGAGGAAAAGAAGAGAGGCACTTCATCCACGTTGCTTGAAGTCCAGTGTAAAGTTTCCACAGTCAGTGATGGTTTCGGGGTGCCATGTCATCTGCTGGTGTTGGTCCATTGTGTTTTCTGAGGTCCAGGGTCAACGCAGCCACATACCAGGAAGTTTTAGAGCACTTCATGCTTCCTGCAGCTGACCAACTTTTTGGAGATGCAGATTTCATTTTCCAACAGGACTTGGCACCTGCACACAGTGCCAAAGCTACCAGTACCTGGTTGAAGGACCATGGTATCCCTGTTCTTAATTGGCCAGCAAACTCTCCTGACCTTAACCCCATAGAAAATCTATGGGGTATTGTGAAGAAGAAGATGCAATACACCAGACCCAACAATTCAGAAGAGCTAAAAGCCACTATTAGAGCAACCTGGGCTATCATAACACCTGAGCAGTGCCACAGACTGATCGACTCCATGCCACGCCGCATTGCTGCAGTAATACAGGCCAAAGGAGGCCCAACTAAATACTGAGTGCTGTACATGCTCATACTTTTCATGTTCATACTTTTCAGTTGGCCAACATTTCTATAAATCCTTTGTTTTTATTGGTCTTCAGTAATATTCTAATTTTCTGATATGATGAATTTGAGATTTTCATTTGTTGTCATTTGTAATCATCAAAATTAAACAAAATAAACATCTGAAATATATGAGTTTGTATGTAATGTATGAATATAATATACAAGTTTCACTTTTTAAATGGAATTACTGAAATCAATCTACTTTTTCATGATATTCTAATTTTATGACCAGCACCTGTATTATTTCAAATTTATGTTTAAATTTAAAATATTTAAATGAAGATGCTTGTTGACAAGTTTTTTAAATCATAATTTAACTTTAATTCAGATAAGTTGAGTGATAAATGAGAGGAAAAGGATGACAACGAGAAAATTTTAGGCTGCTCCAAAATCCTTCATTTTAATGATGAACAGCAAAAGATAAGACATTTTTTGTAGCAGATGCATCATGTTGACAGATACATTTTTAAGCCTAGTTTATTGCGTCAGTCCGTTAGAAACAACTCCTGCATCGGTCACATGACTTCCTAGAAACGAGCAAGCACCAATACAGTGTTTTGCTCTATTGGCTCGATGCGTGCACCGAAGCATCGGGGTTGCTGGACCCGTCACTAGTAAACGGACATCCTCTGCAACAGCACGTCGTCTTTTCTTAGACATTAAATCAGCACCAAATTGAATTTTTTTAAATTAAAGAAACATACGAGTCCATTGACTCCATTTTTCCATGCACAGGTCATTCAGTGTTTCCACATTAGCTATATATAATAAAAAAAAAAAAAAAGACACTTTGCTTCCTTTCAGAGTCTATTTCCTTTATGAGTATATTAAAACTGGGTCCAAACAGATAAATTTCTCTAATCCAAACAAACTAATGGAGATCCAGTCAAAATCTACCAGTTAGAACAACCGTTCCTAAACATTTCAGCCTGTGACCCAAAAAAATTAGGGATGTACGATATTGGGATTTTGGCCGATATCCGATATGCCGATATTTCAAAACTCATGTAGCCGATAACCAATATCGATACCGATGTTAAAGCTGGACAAAAATAAGTAGTCATTGAAAATAGCAGTTTTGTTATCCATTTCTGACACTTTGAAAAATAATATACTCAAATATATTTTCATATGTTGATATCAAATTGATTTTTAAAAACGCGTCAATATATCAACATATAAAAATATGGCAACATTTCGTGAATTTTCGGGGGATTTCGTAGCATAACGATGACATATAGCAATATTTCATTAGTAAAAGAGATTGATATGGTGTTTTTAAATGGCAATATATCAGCATATGAAGATATTGGGATATTTTAATGGATCAATATTTTTTCCCTCGTCTTTAGAAGTTTTTAAGTCTGTAAAAAAGAGGTTTTTGAGGAAGAAGAAGAAGTATTTTTATTTTTTTTTTTAGACTTTAGAAACTTTTACTCTATTTTTATTTATAAATATGAATGTAAGTAATTAGATTCATTGGCAAATATATTTATTTAATGACGGATTAGACTTCTGCATCCGAACACATCAAATGTCGCTTGGTTCTGGTCGGGAAGACAGGTTTCAGATATTACAGGCCAACAATGCAACCAAACGACCCCACTCGTCTGTTACCATTTGCATGTTTCCAAGCTATACAAGACTCAAACTCACTGTGGATCCAGACATTTGAATTGAGAAAGCTTCCTGTAGAGGTGGTGAAACGTCTTCAAATCTTGGAAACAAAGTCCAGCGGATATTTGTTTTACTTTTACAGAATGACTAAGACCTGGATGACTGAGAATCTTCATCAGCATATAAAAAGTGGACATTTGGTCGCCCTAGTTTACTGGGAAAAAGGAGCGCTACCGCAGGTCATTCATCCCTGCTGCAACCAGACGCAACTACAATGAGACAACGGCAATAACTTCTGCAATGTATAATGTGCAATTACTATTTCATACCCTGTGCAATAACTATATATATACATAAATACCCATCTATATAAATACCCATGTAAAAACCCTGTGCATTAACCCTGTATAATAATCCTGCTTAAACAAAAATATCTGTCATATGTGGACGCATACTGTATATAGTATACAGCCTCTGTATTTTTAAATGTTTTTAAATGTTTTTATAATTATAATTTTTATTTTTTCTGACACTTTTTATGTTTTGTACGGTGACCTTGAGTGTCCAGAAAGGCGCCTTTTTAAATAAAATGTATTATTATTATTATTATTATTATTATATACCGCATGCACCTTTTCCTTTTTTTGGCACCTTCTCCATTGACTATTTGAGCTGATGTAACGAGTACATATCCGAACTGTGAGATCAATAAAAATCAATCAATTAAAAACTGAAGGCCCGTGAAGGAGGCTTCAGTTTAGCCCCGCCCCCCGATGCCAAAACAGTGCCAGCTTTTAGTGACGTACAAATCATCTCTTTAAATATTGCTTCTGCTGCAGTTTTTATGTTTTAAAGTCTAGCGTTTAGTATTTCAATGTGTTTTTATTTTTTTTAAAGCAGTCACTGGTTTATGTATCAGAACCAATAATCAACACAGCCGATGGTTTCTACAGAGAATCTGATGTTAAAACCTGTTTAAATCCTGCAGCTTCTTCATTTCACTAAACTTTCTTCAAACATACTGAGCCTTGGAACTAATTTGTCTTTCAAACTCAGTATAGAGATCTGCCAGTGAACACATGTAGTGGTTTTCTTCTGTGATGAGAATCGTATTTTACCTTCAGAGAGACGTTCTTCCCAAAGGTCACGTCTCCAGACACGGTGAGGTGATCCAGCTCCAGCATATCTGGGATGTTTTCAAACCTGGTCAGGAAGTCCTGAACCTGCAGAACAAGCGACACAAACTTCCAGCACGTCCTGAAGTTACAGAGCGTCAGAAACGGGTGGGGACGGTTTCAGACCTTGGTGAAGGAGCTGCCCAGCTTGACGTGCGGCGTCGTGGGGAACTCCCTTTTCTTGCTCATGGTGAGCGAGCCGGCGTCCAGGCTGTACAGGTTAGACATGACCAGCAGGAGGTCAGATGAGGTCTTCACGGGCAGGAAGCGGCTGCGGGGGACGTTCACACCCATGGCGTTTTTGAAGCTCTTAATGGCGGCTCCCACAGCCGTCTCCAGCTGGATGACGTTCAGGCCACCATCTAATGTCTGCCCAGGAGTTAAAGGTTCCGGTTCAACCAAAAGGTTCCAGAAACGCTCATTTTGTAAATAAGGGGAGAGAGTAGAGCACCTTTGGGTTTACGATGATCTCCAGGTCCATGCTGTTCTTCTCCTGCAGCCGCTTGATGGCGGGCAGGGAGATCCACAGGTTGTTGGTGTTGAAGATCTTGAACTTTGTGACGGATTTGAACTCGTCCACATGGGCTTTGGGGACCTGAGCGATCTCCAGCAGCCTCAGATGATCCTCGTACTGGATCAGAGTTCCACCCTGCAGAAAGGTAGAAGGCAAGTCTGAGCAGATGTCCTCGCACTGGAGCGGATCGAGTCGGAACTGCGCTCACCTTGACGTCAGCTCTGGTCTTGTCCGTGACCTCCATGATGAACTCGCAGCGCCTGTCGGCCGGCTGGCTCATCAGGTGGTGGAGGATGAAGAGGTCCACGGTGGCGCCCAGGTTGTCGATGTTTGACACGAAGATGTATTCCCTCCCCTCGGCGAGGAGTTTGTCCAGAACCCCGGAGTTGCAGAAGCTGGCATAGATGTCTCCGTGACCTGGCGGGTACCAGGCCTCCGTGTTCTCGCCGTTCACGCCCATGCTCTTAGCAATCGGCAGCAGAGATTCCTTGTTGATCCTCGGATATCTGTCCAGGAACAAAGACCAGGAACTTCATGACTTTCAGACATTTTCATAAAGAAAAGAACACATCGTTATTTTATTAAACTTTTCCTTTCCAGTGTCTAAAGGAGTTTTACAACAGTTGCTGCCATTTTTTATGGCAATGCCACAAAATCCTATTTTTGTCCCCTAAATCTACATTTAAGGCTAGGCTTAAAACTTTCCTTTTTGATAAAGCTTCTAGTTAGAGTGGCTCAGGTTATCCTGAGCTATCTCTATAGTTATGCTGCTATAGGCTTAGACTGCTGGAGGACATAGGGACCCCTTTTTCATCATTCTGCTTCATTCTATCTCTATTCTCCCACTCTGCAGAATCTGTTAGTTCAATCTCTAACGTTCTGCTCTCTCTGCTTTTTCTCATAGTAGCTTCATCTGGTCTGTTCCTGTTTGGCTGTGACTCCATCCTGGAGAGAAATATCAGCTGTGCTGCTGCCATCAACACCTTTGTTTGTAGATGTTGAATATCGGCCTGTTTTTCAGTATAGTCCTGTTTCTCTGACTGTGACTAACTACAGTTGCTTTCTGTATCTCTGCTTCTGTCTCCTTGAACCCCAGTGGGCCTCAGCAGATGGCCGCTCACACTGAGCCTGGTTCTGCTGGAGGTCTCTTCCTGTTCTAAGGGAGTTTTTCCTCTCCACTGTCGCTACAAGCATGCTTAGTGTGAGGGATTGTATTTAAGTCAATGAGTCGACGCAATCAGCTGGTTTTCCTTTGATAGAAAACTTTGAATCAATTTGACTGGATGATCTGGTTGAACTGTAAAGTGCCTTGAGATGACATGTGTTGTGAATTTGGCGCTATATAAATAAACTGAATTGAATTGAACATTTAGAGACCTAATTGACCTCATAATGACTATGCAATGTGATGCGTCTATTTTATTTAATTTATTTTATTATAAGCTAAAGTAATCCACTTATACTATGAAACAGCCAGTGTGCATCAAAGCGATGAATTTATCTTTATTTTTAAAAGTCTTAAGTTCCCCTAAAAATGAGAACATAATCGTTGTTTGATGCTGTAGCAAACGTACCGTTTACATTGCATCTGGTCTAACAAGGGAGTACCAATATGGCGGCCGGTGACTTCACTTCAACCGCATCCTACCAATGGGAAATTAGCAATCCAGTGAATAAATAGAGATCAGTGGCTTGTAATTAATCTAGTGCACCACTAGGTGGAGGTAAATCTAAACACTGTCCCTTTAAGTACATGTACCATGAGGTTGCAATGAACATACACTATATTGCCAAAAGTATTTGCTCACCTGCCTTGACTCACATATGAGCTTAAGTGACATCCCGTTCCTAATCCATAGGGTTCAATATGACGTCGGTCCACCCTTTGCAGCTAGAACAGCTTCAACTCTTCTGGGAAGGCTGTCCACAAGGTTTAGGAGTGTGTTTATGGGAATTTTTGACCATTCTTCCAGAAGCGCATTTGTGAGGTCGCACACTGATGTTGGACGAGAAGGCCTGGCTCTCAGTCTCCGCTCTAATTCATCCCAAAGGTGTTCTATCGGGTTGAGGTCAGGACTCTGTGCAGGCCAGTCAAGTTCATCCACACCAGACTCTGTCATCCATGTCTTTATGGACCTTGCTTTGTGCACTGGTGCACAGTCATGTTGGAAGAGGAAGGGGCCAGCTCCAAACTGTTCCCACAAAGTTGGGAGCATGGAATTGTCCAAAATGTCTTGGTATGCTGAAGCATTCAGAGTTCCTTTCACTGGAACTAAGGGGCCAAGCCCAGCTCCTGAAAAACAACCCCACACCATAATCCCCCCTTCACCAAACTTTACACTTGGCACAATGCAGTCAGACAAGTACCGTTCTCCTGGCAACCGCCAAACCCAGACCCGTCCATCAGATTGCCAGATGGAGAAGCGCGATTCGTCACTCCAGAGAACGCGTCTCCACTGCTCTAGAGTCCAGTGGCGGCGTGCTTTACACCACCGCATCCGACGCTTTGCATTGCACTTGGTGATGTATGGCTTGGATGCAGCTGCTCGACCATGGAAACCCATTCCATGAAGCTCTCTGCGCACTGTTCTTGAGCTAATCTGAAGGCCACATGAAGTTTGGAGGTCTGTAGTGATTGACTCTGCAGAAAGTTGGCGACCTCTTCGCACTATGCGCTTCAGCATCCGCTGACCCCGCTCCGTCAGTTTACGTGGCCTACCACTTCGTGGCTGAGTTGCTGTCGTTCCCAAACACTTCCATTTTCTTATAATACAGCTGACAGTTGACTGTGGAATATTTAGGAGCGAGGAAATTTCACGACTGGATTTGTTGCACAGGTGGCATCCTATCACAGTTCCACGCTGGAATTCACTGAGCTCCTGAGAGCGACCCATTCTTTCACAAATGTTTGTAAAAACAGTCTGCATGCCTAGGTGCTTGAATTTATACACCTGTGGCCATGGAAGTGATTGGAACACCTGATTCCAATAATTTGGATGGGTGAGCAAATACTTTTGGCAATATAGTGTATGTGTACTTTTAAATACTAGTTGGCTGTTTTTGAGGGAAGCATTGAGTATTATGAGTGTGTGTGTGAATGTGTGTGTACTTATGCATGGTGTGGATGCTTCTGTGTTAAAATATGATTTATATTGCTGTTGTTTATATTTATGGTTTGTGGGGAAACCTGAAAATGAGAATATATCTCAAGGATTTAAAAAAAAAATGTATCGAATTAAAAATAATTTGATTTAGTCCAGTCGAGTTTTACAAAAAGAACCTGAGCAGAACCCCGGACTGAAAACAAGGCAGATCTGCTTAGATCTCTGCGTCGACGTCCCATTTAACGTCATGTAGCGGTTAGCGGTTTTCTGCGCCGGTCACCTGCTCTGGTTGAACGTGTGGATCTTGACCCGGTGGTGTTTGTATTTCTGCAGAATCTTGTTCGTGTCCTCGTCTGTGTTGAAAGAGTTCATGAGGACCAGCGGCACGTCGGTATTGAAGGTTTTGTTGAGATGCTGCAAACAAACCAGAACAAACATGATTGAAGTCTGGATCTCCACAGCGCCGAGCCGCTCGCCGTTTGGCTGCCGGTACCTCGATCTGCTGCACGGTCAGGTCCAGGAAGGTGTTCTCGTTGCGGACGCTGATCAGACTCTTGGGGCCCTTACAGCCCATGCTGGTTCCCAGACCTCCGTTGAGTTTGACCACAGCGAGCTTGTTGAGGCAGGAGGTGATGTTTTCAGGGAGTCCCTTCGCCTTGATCTTATCATAAGGCTGGATCTGATCAGACAGCATGAGACAGGATCATGCTTAGGATCTCTGATCCAACCAAAACGACTTCTTGGTCTTGTCTCAGAATTATGCACCAAACAAGAGCAGATTATGTTAGATTATTAATCTTATTTTGAGAAGATTCTACTTAGAATAACTCCAATAACCTGTCAGTGCAGTAAGACTATTTCACTTGGTAAGACTTTGTGAAATCATGATATATATTCTGAAAACAAGAAGTCATATAAATTATCAAATTGTCAACATTTCTACACCTATAACTCACTGGAAAAACAACCTAGAAAAAGGTACAAAGATTCTTAAATTAAATGTATTTACTCTTAATTTGAGTAGGTAAATGAGATAGTTTGCCAATGGAATTAGTATTTTTACTCTTGAAATAAGATAATTAGATAATATGCACTTGAAATAAGACAATGCAACCATGTTTTCTTATTTTAAGTGTAAATTGTCTTGTTCCATTGGCAAAATGTCTCTTTTACCTCCTCAATCCAAGAACAAATGCACTTGTTTTAAGAAAAATGGACTTCTCTAGATTTAGATTTTTTCCAGTGCTCAGTCTGGTTGCATTCAAAGGCTTTGTGCCTATTATATATTATCAATGTGTTTTTCTCCATTTGTTAGTAAACTTTAGTGTTTTTTAATATTTATCATTACAAGACTACCTGAAGGGAGGTGTAATAATTTGCATTTATGCAACAAGTAAACAAGGAAGTGATGGATCAAAGGACGCGTGAAAAGAGAGGAAAAGCCTAAAATCAAGTGTGAAAACATAAAATATCAGAAGCTACGAAGGATAGGATACAAATAAGTCAATACATTATGAATGCTGGTGTTCATACCAATTAATTAATTGAAAAAAAAAAAACGGAACTAAAACAGGGACGGAAATAGAAGAAGGAGCAGAAGAGAAAACCAGACAAAGAGGATGGAAGTTTGGGACCCTTATGATCAGAGATCCTGGAGGACGTGTGCACACTGCAAAAACTATCTCAAAATGAGTAAAAATGTCTAAAATTAAGAGTATTTACGCTTAATTTGAGCAGGTAAATAAGATGATTTGCGAATGGAATGAGTAGTTTTACTCTTAAAATAAGGTATCTAGATATTATGCACTTAAAAAAAGACAATGCAACATTTTTTTCTGATTTTAAGTGTAAATTGTCTTGTTCCATTGGCAAAGTGTCTCACTTAAATACTTAATTCAAGAAAAAATTCACTAATTTTGAGAAAAAAATGACTTATTTAGATTGAATTTTTTGCAGTGCAGATGTGGATGAATCTGTAGACGGGTGGAGAGGCAGCCGGTAAGAGAAGCTGTGATGTTTATGAGATCAGACTGCAAGGTTACCTACGTTCCTCCAGCTTTTCCGTCTCGTTAACACCCATTAACAGCAACACCCGAACTGAGGAGGTGGACTGTGGTAAAGTCTGGCGTTGTTTGATTATATGATTGAATTGATTGGTTTTTTTTGTGTGGTTTTTTTAATAGTGAATTTGGGGTAAATTCAACTATTAATTAATTTAGCATCAGATTAAGAAGAACAACAACATGAAACTATAAAAAAAGTAGTATTTATATATTTAAATAAATGTAAATATTTATTTCAAACGTATTTTAAAGTTAAAGAACTTAAGTTTAGTTTCTTGTTCATTTAACTTTAATTACTTTGTGGGTTTGATTCACAGTAGTTTGCTTAGTAATTTTTATATAGTTTATCCGTGAGGCAGACACCCTGTCTACATTTAAGGCTAGGCTTAAAACTTTCCTTTTAGATAAAGCTTATAGTTAGAGTGGCTCAGGTTATCCTGAGCTATCTCTATAGTTCTGCTGCTATAGGCTTAGACTGCTGGAGGACATAGGGACCCCCATTTCATCATTCTGCTTCATTCTATCTCTATTCTCCCACTCTGTAGAATCTGTTAGTTCAATCTCTAACGTTCTGCTCTCTCTGCTTTTTCTCATAGTAGCTTCATCTGGTCTGTTCCTGTTTGGCTGTGACTCCATCCTGGAGAGAAATATCAGCTGTGCTGCTGCCATCAACACCTTTGTTTATAGATGTTGGAGCTTGGCCTGTTTTTCAGTGTAGTCCTGTTTCTCTGACTGTGACTAACTGGATGTGCTCTCTTCATCCTCTGACATGGGAGCTGGCTCGGAGCTCGTCTGCCTGGCTGTGTGTTTCCTGGACGGGGCCGCCTTTTACAGCTGCTTTTTTTATCTATGCTTCTTTTTCTATGTCTGCTTCTGTCTCCTTGAACCCCAGTCGGCCTCAGCAGATGGCCGCTCACACTGAGCCTGGTTCTCCTGGAGGTTTCTTCCTGTTAAAAGGGAGTTTTTCCTCTCCACTGTCGCTACAAGCATGCTTAGTGTGAGGGATTGCTGAAGAGTCATTGAGTCGATGCAATCAACTGGTTTTCCTTAGGTAGAAAACTTTGAAACAATTTGACTAGATGAGATGGTGAACTTGTAAAGTGTTGTGAACTTGGCGCTATATAAATAAACTGAATTGAATTGAATTATCATTTCCTTTGTAGTTTGACTGGAATTAATTTATGTAAACTACCATACAAATTAGTAATTATTTTTCTTCTTTTCTTCACAATTGGTTTTTACCTGCTTCTAGTAGGTAAAAACTAATTGTGAATATATTCTGACACTAGATAAATGGAAGATAAAAGGAAGGAAACTGCGTGGTCCTGTGAGTAAAACCCTGTTGATGAAACTGCATAAATTTATCCATCCCTTTTCAAGTGAGGAAGCTGCATGAGATAGAAAAAAAAACTTGACAAAAACATAAATGGATCATATTAGGATTTAATATCACAGACCAAACCAAAGGCATGCAAAACTAAAGACATCGTCCCCAAAGCGAAACATGGTGGTGGGAGCATCATGCTTTTTTCTGCCCTTCTGTTTATAAATGCTCTGCATCTAATCTGACTGAACTGCAGATTTTCCGTAAACAGGCAAACCTCGAGTCTATCAATGTTCAAAACTGGTAGAAAAACTAACAAATTACTTAAAACTAGGGCTGCAACTAACAATCATTTTTATTAATCTGTCGATTATTTTTTTTATTAATTGGTTAATAATCGGACAGCAAAAGGATCCTTAAAGACGATTTTTTACAGAATTAAACGAAGTGAAAAAATTTTCCACTTGAGTCCAGTGGAAGTCTTAAATTCAAAATATTTATGCATTTTTCCTAATTTAGGCATAATTACTGCTCTAAGTAGGTCCCTCTGAGTCTATACTCCAGATAACTATTAAGCTAAATCGTTTATTAAACTAAATCAATTATTACTAATTTAGTTGAGGATTATTTCAATAATTGATATATCACTATCAATTGTTTCAGCCTTACTATAAAGTTTAACTAAAGGAGATGGAAATAAAACATTGACCTAAACCACATCAAATTTTTATAAAAAAAAAAAAAAAAAAAAAAAGGGTATCAATTCCTATATTCTTGCCCTCTAATAGACAATTATGTTGGTCTAGTATATAAAATAAATGTGGCAGTAAAATGACAAAAATGATAAATAGCTGAAGGGGAATGAAATGTACAAACACTACTGTGAAGGAAAGGGTTAACTCTGTGTCCCCAACTTCTTACAAATGTTGCTAAATGTCACTGAAGTAACTGGGATGCCTGGACTGACGGAGGCAATGTCACATGACCCCCAGCCGTCGCTCCATCTATCAATAGTCACCGTCAGCTGGAGCCAGACAGAAGATCAAGGTCCAAATGAAATCAGAGCCGTGCCTCCAAACATCAAGCAAGCTCCGAGTCTAGACCCCCGATTTGTAGGTCTGACAGCAGGAGCTGCCGTCTACACAAAGGCAACAACTGGGAAACTGCTAGAAGATGTTAAAAAAGAGGTAAAACGACTGAGGAACTAATCTAAATCCTTCTGCTGCTGCCAACATTTAGAAAAATAAAGAATATAGAAAAACTGGGCGACAGTGGCGTCGGATGTAGGAGTTTTGCCCTCCACTGGCTCCAATAGTCGAATAACGGACCAATCAGAGGCTTCCCTCGGTCTGCATCACTTTAACCACGGTGGCTGTGGTCTGAGCAGCAGCTTTAAACACACAGGAGCAGAGCGGTCTCCATCTAACAAAGACCATTAAAGAAACGGACCTGTTCCAAGACTACAAGCTGGTCTGGAAGACATAAAAACCTGGATTTATCTAAACTTTCTGCTTTAAAATACAGACTAAACAGAAGTTATGATCTTTGGACAAGTCTGTCACTATTTTCCTTTTCAGTCACATATTGGAATGGCATTAAATTAGTCTCATATAACAGTAAAAAATCTTGGTGTTATTTTGATCAGGACCTGTCATTTAATTCCTATATCAGGTTTCTAGAATTTTCTACGTTAATTTCAGGAAATGAGAAATCTCCTGTCCAGGGGTGATGCGGAGAAACTAGTCCATGCATTTGTTACTTCAAAGCTGGAGTATTGTAATTCTTAACTATCAGGAAGTCCACAAATTGTAGTTAAAAACCTTCAGCTGCTCCAAAATGCTGCAGCCAGAGTTCTAATGAAAATGAAAAAGAGAGATCATATCTCGCCTATCCTGGCTTCTCTTCATTGGCTTCCTGTTAAATCCAGAATAGAATTTAAAATCCTCCTTCTCACATATAAAGCCTCAAATGGCCAAGCTCCATCTGATATCAGAGATCTGATTGTTCCTTATGTTCCTAACAGAGCACTTCGCTCTCAGTCTGCAGGTTTACTAGTGGTTCCTAGAATTTCTAAAAGTAGAATGGGAGGCAGAGTGGCTCAGGTTATCCTGAGCTATCTCTATAGTTATGCTGCTATAGGATTAGACTGCTGGAGGGCATAGGGACACCTTTTTAATCATTGTGCCTCATTCTATCTCTATTATCCCATTCTGCACTATTTTTTGGTTTCCATTTCTAACGTTCTGCTCTCTCTGCTTTCTTGCATCGTAGTAGCTTCATCTAATCTGTTCCTGTTTGGCTGAAACAAAGTCTTGAAGAGAAATATTAGCTGGGGCAGTTTTTTTATTTTTAATCCAGTTTCTCTCCTAGGCACAGAGATGAGCCCAGCTTTTACTGTGACTAAATGGATGAGCTCTCTCTCTTCCTTTTGACAAGAAAACTGGCTCAGAGCTCGTCTGCTTAACAGCGCCACCAGTGGATCTACTTTACTGTTACTTTTTCTAACATAGAACATATTTATGGATCAGTTCTTCTATATTCCTTTTTTGCATATTTGCTATTGTCTCCTTGAACCCCAGTCAGGCTCAGCAGATGGCTGCTGACACTGAGCCTAATTCTGCTGGAGGTTTCTTTTTGTTTTATATGAATGCTTGGTGTAAGGGATTGCTGTTTGTGAATATCGGCTCACCCAGCAGAAACCAATCCTGCAAAGTTAGCGACAGGATACAATCAGCTGATTTTCCTTAGATAGAAAACTGAACCAATCTGACTGAATTATCTCTGTAAAGAGCGTTGAGAGGGAGTGTGTTAGGAATTGGCGTACATAGATTAATGGAGTTATTTGGGGGAATCTTGCTAATATTGATTCCAATCCACAAACGGCTCAGCTGGTTGGCAGCCGACTGAAATAAAGGGTTAGCCTCCATTATACAGCCTGATGTCCCACTGTCTAAAACCACCTGTCTGTAATCTGAAGACCACATGTGCTGGTGCAGTTCTTGGGGGAGGGCGGCTTGAGAAAAGCTCTTGACCCCCCCTCCTCATGTCGCAGCAGACATGCTGACCTGATGAAGCAGGACAAACACTATTCTCTGACTCTACCGATAAAAGAACAGCGTTTCTAGAGACAACTAAACCGGATAAAACTAACCACAGCTGCAGATGAGGACATAAGGCTTCATATTTTGTTATAGTTTGTCTTGTGTATCCCTGCGATAATCAACAGTAATAAGATTTAGAGCTGCAGCACAGTGGGGGTGGGTGTGTGTCTTCCTCTGGCCTTATATCAGCATGCTGGTCTATCAGAGCGGACCTTGTGATAGCCGCCGCGGTTCAGCTATTCTTAGCTCTAACCTTCCCTGTCCCTGGTATTTTGGGAGCTGTGGGGCGAGGGACGGTGTGAGAACGCCAGAGCATGAGTGAAAAGTCACCATTCATACCCGGCTGGAACCTGGATGTCCTCAACCTTTGGATCTGGTTACACTTTGCTTGTTTCAGGAGGACGTCTGCTTCATTCTAATAGAAAGAAACCTTTAAAATAGCAGGCAATAGGCCTGCAAAAAGAGAGAACTAAAAATGTGTAAATTGTTTTTGTTTTTTTTATTGTGTATTTGCTTTTGATTTGAATAGGCTGATAAAAAAAAAAAAAAGTGAGGTGAATGAATAAGATTGTTGCTCGAAACATAAGAAAGAAACTTCCACTTCATCTTATTTCAAGAGCGCTATATATAATCGTTTTATTTTAGGCGCCAAAATACTTTGTTCCATTTGCAGAATCATTTTATTTACCTGCTCAAATAAAGGGGAGATTCAAGGTGTTTCTTGATACAACTTTTATGTCTCTGATAGGATACCGATGTTGAACCGATACGATATCGGCATGAATTATAAACCCTTTTATTACTTATTCTATACTGTAGAATGTTAGGAAAGGTTTGATCAAGTGATATTATTAGAAACAGAGAAAATAGTAGAGAATAAAAGAGATGTTGAGCACTCAGCTTCACTCACAAAGATGTGAGTTGTTTGAGGTGGCCAGTGACACATTGGTGGAAAATGACGGAATTAGGCAACGTTTTACGTGCCCGAGGGGTCCCCTCATTAATGGAGGAGCAGAAGGTCATTAAAACAAGAGAGCTAGTCTCTAAAACAGACATGGCTATGGCTTGATGCTAACATGTTTGTTAGCTGTCAGAATTCTGAGAAAAAAGTGAAAATTTTGAGAAAAAAATGAAAATTTTGAGAAAAAAGTGAAAATTTTGAGAAAAAAGTGAAAATTTTGAGAAAAAAGTGAAAATTTTGAGAAAAAAAGTGAAAATTTTGAGAAAAAAAGTGAAAATTTTGAGAAAAAAGTGAAAATTTTGAGAAAAAAAGTGAAAATTTTGAGAAAAAAAAGTGAAAATTTTGAGAAAAAAAGTCAGAATTCTGAGAAAAAAAGTCAGAATTCTGACTTTTTCCCCATACTAAACTGGAATAAAATCTTATAATCAGTAAACTTTTTTTTTTTCTTTCCAGTGGCTCTAATCCTCTTCCGTAAAAAAAATACACAAATTTTAAGAAAATATATTTTTTATATATTTTTTTTTTTAGATAACATTTTCAGTAGAAGTAAACCTGAGCCAAACCAGCAGAACAGGGAAATGCCAATAAAACAAAATGATTTACATCTAAAATAGGAAGAAAAAAAACTTCAGGAGAATAATATTCCATACAATTATTACAAGAACAAAAATGGCAGATCATCTTATTGGAAATGGGCTTATTTTAAGAAATATTTACTTATTTTTAGATCCGCTTTTGCAGTGAATGATTCCTCCCATTACCACCAAGCTGCTAATCATTTGAAGAGTGTTTTTAAACACAATGGCGCCACACTTCAGCATATTTGCACAACTGGTGAAGCCAAAAACCTTCTGGATGTTTTACAAAAAGTCATATTGCCTCTACTAAGGGATAGTTGTACAGTGGAAGGACAAGATTAATTATAACTTTTAAGTAAATTAGTGTTTACAAAGTATTAAAATGTCCCCATTTTCTACCGATCCTTGGTGCCAGCTGCAGATGTTTCTGGCTTAAGAGGTTTATTAGAGAACATTAGGGAATGAAACAGCATCACGAAGACCAGCTTTAAATATCTGAGGAAGGGTTGATCCATTTTCTGACAATGGAAGATTGGCACAACTGCAATAGCAGGTTGAATACTGAGACTCTGGAGGAGCTGTGAAGATCTACAGCTCAGGTTAAGAGAAACTGTCACAGAAGAAAAGAAATCCATAAGAAGTTAGCTTTGTTTGTCACAATTTATGGTTGTTTTGACAGATTAAAACAAAGTTCAAGCTTCTACCGACAGAATCTGCAAAAAGAATACAAAACTTGTGTTGAAGATGACGTCCATCCAGTGGAATAAGAATTAAAATCCCTCTCTAGATGAGAAACCCAAAGCAAATGCAGATGTAAATAAAGGCGAGTTAAGCTTTAGTTTTAGGAAGTAAACAGAGTCCCGACTTATCATCTGACTGCTTTCTAAGGCTGTGAATCCGGCGGCTGCGTCCTCCGAAGGCCGGATTCGGACAGTTGGTCTGGAGTCCTGACTCAGACTCCTAAGAATTTGTAAAGCTACTGCAGATTCAGCAGGAGTGACGTTTTAAGGACCTCAGGTACACCAAATACAACAAACACGCCCAATAATCCTGCAGGCACCGTTCACTTCTTCAATGGGACGATGCAGACAGACCAGATTACAGCTGATGGCTCTGAAAGCAAACCTCCATTAGGCTGAATAAAGTTCAGCCTTCAGTCTGCATAAGTGCACATTTCAAGATGCCTATTAGGAAGAGATATGCAGGTAAGCAGAAGTTTAATTGAAGGGATTTATTTAGAAATAACATTTATTAAAGGTTGGAGGTCTTTATCTGCCGATGCTGCAGCCGGTGGTTTCCGTCTGCCAACCTTTCCTACAGCTGATGGCTGATTGCAAATTCAAGAATTCAAGTACTTGGAAATAATATAAACTATGAATTTGTTCAAAAAAATAAGAGAAAAGACAATATCAAAGTGGAATGTTTTTAAATCTGATTGTTGGTCTACTGTGTGCGTCGCCGTCTGAGTCGAGGCGTATTTCGAGACCAGAGATTGTGACATGGAGCCAAATAAGCGGCGCGGCTTCATGTATCTGGGGACTTACCGACTCCTCAGGCGGCCGGTTGATCTTGGCCCAGTCCACCGAGGGACCTTTGACCTGCAGGAATCTGTGGAAGAGATTCTTGAAGCCCTCAAAGTCTTTCCTGGAGACCTGAAACAGAACCAAGCAGACGTCAGCATTTACAGCAAAAGACTTCTTCATATGACTAACTGGAGTAACGATTGGGTTATGATCTGTGGTCAAAGTGCCACCAGTGGAAGTCCAGCTGCCCATTCAGATGGTCCCAAGAAATCTGGTATTTTAAATAAATGAAGTTTTCAATCTGTGGCTTTGGTTTCAAACAGAAATCTGATATATGAGAAGTTCAGCGGAGACGCCGCCAAGAGGCAGGAACAACCTAACCTGACTCCGCCAGATGGATCTACTCCGCATATCCATCTGGAAACCTTCCGTTGAAGTAATTTTGGGAAGGGGCGAAAATACTGGTTAGCTGATTGGCCTATGTTGGTGATAGACGGGCCAAATAAACCAATCAGATGACGTACTAACAGAGCGACGACAAAAACACAACCACAAGCAAGGCTACTCTTGCCGAAACCAGTCGGGAGAAGAGCAAAAACATCTTTTCCTCTGAGAAAAGCCTCCAGAGCAGTGTTTTGCTCTTCTTTCAGTGAAGAAATACTCTGTAATTCCGATAAAACTTGCTCGATAGCCACGCTAACGCTAGTTTCATCGGCTGAAGCCGCCATGTTCTTTAGACTGAACTGTCGCGCTTCTCGTTGCGTCACACCTCAACCCGCCTCAAAGCCAACGCTGATTGGACGTTCGTTTGGTGAACGGCTCAACAGAGAGTCTCCAGACTGATTAGCGAGTGAAACCTTGAAAGCTCGCGAGATCAGGATGGTCTCACGAGGCTAGGACCAACCGCCGGTGGCTCCAATCAACTCAGAACCTGAACGGCAAACTAAGCTGTGTTCAACTTTTATTTTGAAAAGCCAGTGAGAATTGATAAATCATTCGACTATCAAAAAAAAAATATATATATAATTTAGTCTTTTTCTGAATCAGACATACTTTAATAATCCCAGAGGGAAATTACTATTGTTACACACTCCAGATATACAAACATTTTTATGTACGGTATATACAATTTTTATGCATCGTCAGACACCACAGGAATATTTAAATTCTCCTGAGTCCAAAATATTGATTTAAAAGTTTATTCACAACATCTAAGAACAACTTTGAACAGACAGCAGACATTTTGATTCTTTGCAAATCCAAGTTTTGCAGTTAGATTTCTTTTCTTCTGCTTTTTATTGGGGATTGCAAGGCATGTTACACAAGCACATTTCTGCACCCAAAGGGGTTAATCTCACCCTCTTTTTCTTTTTTTAAACACACGAACAAACCAAAACCAGCAGTGGTGGACCAAAAAAATTTAATAAAATTAAGTCCAGTTGTAACGCTTCAAATCTCCAGCAATCGATTGATTTGAGATTTATAGTCCCAACATGATTAAAACTCGACGATCTCCTGATGAGAGCCTCTTTAATCCTCTCAGCATAGGTTCTCAGACAGACTTGCACTGATCAATCAGATGTGCTCGGAAATTGGCCGATATTGTTGTGTTTGTGCTCGTTGCGACCGGCGCCAACACAACAATATTGAAGAATCTATGGATCTGATGCCGTGATCGACGATATCAGCAGATACTTTTTTTGGTGAAAGGAAATCGGCTCCCTAAATCCTGATCGGTGCAGCTCTATTTTATTCTAAAGAATTGGTTCCTCCTTGTAATTTTTTGCGCACTTTCTGCAGCGAGAGTGGAGACTTCTTTAACATCGCCTTCCTCTCACTTTATGTCTTAACCAAAGCAAATATTTCTATCCTCAAGTGCCAACCTGTTTTAGGAAGCCCTTTTCTAAAATATCTGTCGACATGTTGGTTCTGGCGGTAACCACCAAAGGGAACAACCATAAAAAAAAAAGAAAGGCTCATTTGTCGGAGCCATAGAACTGATCCAAATGTGATGTAAGATATAACTATTATGTTAGAAGAAATATTTCAAAAAGTGTTTTAAAGCAGGATTTTTTCTTAATAGCAGGACATATTTCCAGCCTTTCAGAAATCATTAAAGTCAAACTATTGATTCATTTTTCTTCTGCGTGTCCACAGATTTCATTGGCTGTTCTGGGACCATGGAGGTGTTTGCATGAGCGCTGATCTAAAGGACCTAAAGGTTGTTGACTTCAGACTCTGTGTTTTCAGACAGAAGCTCTGATGGATCTTTCAGTCTCCTGTAAAGCTTGCTCTGCAAACATTTACCCAATGCATGTAAATAGAGATAAAGGAGTCCGTGACTCTTGATCCACTGCGAGTCGCCCACAGTGGATCAAGAGTCACGGACTATGAGATCCGAGTAGTTTTAACGTAACAATACTGGATGTAGACAGATCAATAGGTTTAAAACGGATTATAAATGTATGAGGAAGGAAAGTAGCACTGATAATGTGTGATGCAAATATATTTTCCTCTAAAAAACAAAAAAAAGGGCATTAATTTGAAAAGAAAAAGCTTCTTTCCTCTGCATGCTGTGTTTTGAGGAGGTTTGTGTCGATGTGGAGAGCTGCAGTAGTTTACCCACCTCTGCATCGGCTTTGCTGGCGGTGGCCAGCAAAGCCTCCAGCTCCCGATGCATGGAGTCTTCATGCTGCTGACGGAGCTTCTCCTCAAACTCCGTCATCGGTCCTCTGCTGAGAGCTGCAAACACACACAGGTCTGCCTTTGACTTCTATTGGAAACCCAAGAGCCGTTCATGGTTCACTAATGTCATTAGTTCTGATTAAAAAATCTAAAATATTCAGAATATTAGTCAGAAAAAGATCCCTCTCAGCATTTTAGTAGAAAATACGTAAAAATAAAACAGAAAAGAATAAAAATATTAATTTTAACATGTCCTGAACAACTTTCTGATAAGTCCTGGTAACTGCTTCTACCAAACGCTTAACTTACCTGCCACGGTAAGCGACATTTTGCCAGACTCTGTTTAAAGGACAAAGGTTACTCTAATGTTAAGGTGTGAAGACCAGCAGCAGCTAACGGCGAGTCCTTGTGTGCATTAAAAAGTCAAAAATGGTCCCCAGTAGAAACCTGCAGCGTGTCTCTGTGTCCAGCCTCCTCATCCTCAGCTCAGAGGAAGCTGGCAGACCCTGGGACCCTGCGATTGTCATCCCAGCCCACAGAAACACACCAATCACACTCGAGCACAGCGATCGAGTTAGGGTGGGACCGACACCGGACGGCCCCCTTCAGGTCCTACTCCAACTACCAGCTCTTTAGAGTTTAAACTCTTGGCACCGACAGCTGATAAATTGCAGGAGATCATCGCTCAGGAGCAGCCTTTCTTCTCAAAATAACTCAAATGATTCCACATAGAAACCTAAGAGGAATATTCCGTCATGATGGCCTAAGTAATGGCTCCAAACAATAATTTATTACTTTAAAGCCTTAAGTATTTTGTAAGCATCTTAAACACATGATAATTGCACTATAAACAGATTTCTCCTCCTGTAAATAACCGTTTATTGAGCCCCATCAGTCATCTAAAATTCTGCAAGCGCAAAGGTTCATAATTATGCTGCAAATTCCCATGAAACATTTTTCCTGCTCAAAGCACCGATCATTTGGTCAAAGATCAGAATCAGCCAATCTCTCCTCTAAGCTGTGATTAGAGATCGACCGATACTTTTATATAAAACCGATTCTGATTACTTTCATATCAAATTAGCCGATCCACGATTTTTTTAGGTCAACATCTTTGGACAAGTCTCAATTAACCCTTTAAAGCCCGATCCAAGAATAAAAAAAAAACAGAAAATTACTTTTTTTTTTTTTAATTCCTTAATTGCCCTTTTATCAAAATATTTAAACCGAAAAAACAGAAATACATTTTTGATATTAATAATTTATTACTATGCGATAAGTCAAGATTATTTTTTGTGTAGTCTTCTACTGGCTGTTATCAGGTATATCTGATTGTGTACAATAGGATTTTGAGCAAAGTTTTTACCATTAAATTATGCAAAAGGTGTCAGACGCAAAACATTTCAGAAACCGTATGTATCAAATATGATACATTTGGCATTATAGGGTTAAAAAAAAAACAAAAAAAACATTTAGAAATCAAAAGGAGACGTTAATAATGGATAACAATGCGAGCGAGCCGCACAACAAGCACTTTATGCAATCATGAGGCCAAAAATTTCAGCTCAAAAATGTATTAGTCTGTTCTAATTACCAAAAATATGTTCTTCCTAATCATCAAATGCATAAAAATAAACTTTTCACACTAATTCGAGTTTATAAATGCATCAAGCATGCAGCAGGTTACACACACAAACAAATGCTTTGATGGATAAATTAGGGAAATCCAGTAAATCCTAAATTACTAATGCGTCCCATGGGTGGGGGGTTGTGTGGTGTCACAAGTTCGGAAATAATTTTCACATTTTTAATTACTTTATTAATATATGAAACATACAATAAAATTACAAAATGCTAAATTAAATCATTTAAAATAAAGTAAAGTAAATGTTATTTAAAAAGATACATTTAAAATATTTGAATAATTACTCAACTCTGTATTTGTAAATAAATATAGTGAAATAACTATTTTAGCTTTTATTTGTTTTGGGCTGTACCACTACTTTTTTTCCTTTTTTTTTTTTTTTTTTTCAGCGTCCCAGGCTGAAAACTTACGGAGCTCCCTAGGGGACATGGGGAATTTTTTTTTCTTTTGCGTTCCCTCGCAAAAGTATTGCGTTCCCACGCAAAACCTTTTGCGTTACTTTTGCGTTACCACGCAAAACCTTTTGCGTTACCTTTGCGTTACCACGCAAAAAACCTTTTGCGTTACTTCTGCGTTCCCACGCAAAAAACTTTTGCGAAAGTTTTGCGTTCCCACGCAAAACCTTTTGCGAAAGTTTTGCGTTCCCACGCAAAACCTTTTGAGTTACTTTTGCGCAACCACGCAAAACCTTTTGAGTTACATTTGCGCAACCACGCAAAACCTTTTGAGTTACTTTTGCGCAACCACGCAAAACCTTTTGCGTTACTTTTGCGGTACCACGCAAAACCTTTTGCGTTACTTTTGCGGTACCACGCAAAACCTTTTGCGTTACTTTTGCGGTACCACGCAAAACCTTTTGCGTTACTTTTGCGGTACCACGCAAAACCTTTTGCGTTACTTTTGCGGTACCACGCAAAACCTTTGGCAGAGGAGTTATTGATTTTTATTTGCAACGTTTTGCTGTTGTTTTACCATTTGCAGACAGTCCCTAACCACTCGCCTGGCCGCTGCCTGTGCATAGAGATCAATGTAATACATCCAGCTCCGAGAACGGCTTGTTTTTTTTCCGAAAATAACGCTTTTTGATTCTTGTAATTCGTAGTCTGTGTTATCAGGGGATGAAAGAGGCGCCATTTGTGTTTAAACAACCAGAGTTATTGATCCCGGAAGTCCGAATCTGTGAATATCTTTCTAACTTGACCGAAGTAAGGTTTTGCGTTCTCAGGCGTGCGGAACGCAAAACCTTTGCAAAAGGTTTTGCGAGGTAACGCAAAATTTTGCGAGGGAATGCAAAAGAAAAAAAAAATTCCCCATGTCCCCTAGGGGGCTCCGTAGAAAACTAAGGTTGGCCAAATTTGAAAAAAAAAAATAATAAATTGCAAATATTTTCAATCATCATTGCATTTTTATTTTGAGTTTTCTTTTGCGCTTATATCACAAATGTTTCAGTTTTTCCTGATCTTGAAACGTTGTTAGTCCAGAGTCCATTATTTCTAAACTTTACTGTAAGCTTTGAGTAAAACAGTTGCATGGAGGATCGGCTGGCTAGCTCTCCCTCTTCCCTTCTGTGTGGAGACAAACCCACGTTTAGTGCATTACCGCCACCTAAAGGACTGGAATGAGAAATGTAAATGTAATGTTACCAAAATTTAGGGCTTCTGTGATTTGAAAATTGTGTTTACTTATATTTTGAGCAGATTTTCAATTGCAGTTAATTGCCCAGGCCTACTTAAAATGAATACCTTGATTCATTTGGGCAATGTTTTCAACCTTAATGAGTTAAAGTCATTTAAAAAAGGTTTTAAAATCTGTAGAAATCAAATCAAAAGGTGGGACCTTAAAGACCTCTCTGATTAATTTATAGAACCTATAACATTTTATAGCCTGTAGATAACGCAGACCTTTTAGGTAGCATAACATATGCTTCATCAATATTTAGAAAAACTAAACATGGTTTAAATTCCTGGGTGGGAAGAATGGACAAAGATAGAGGAAAATAAATAAGCAAATAGATCTAAATAACATGGAAACAGTTTAGGCAGCATTGGGCTGTGACCCTGATGATTTGTATTATCTTGGCTTCTCAGTAAAACAACAAATAAGAAATTTAGTTTCACCACTTTTTTCACTCGGACAGAAAAGAAAATAAGGTACAATAAAATACGAAATAAGTATTTTAGGTGAAAGTTTGCATTTTGATCAATTAGAAAGTATTCAAACATGTCTGCATTGTTATTTTTAGATTTACAATTGATCTAAAATTGTAAAGTGCCTTGAGATGACGTGTGTTGTGAATTGGCGCTATAGAAATAAACCGAATTGAATTAATTATTCGAAAGTTTGTCTTTTCTGGCTCCAAATTCATGTTTAAGAAAGTTAAAGAAAATCCTTCCTGCAGCCAAACCTGTTTATTTTCTCCTTGCATGCTGAATCCTGACCACACATCTATGTTTTAACTCCAAACTGTTCATGTTTGGATGTCACGGCCCCCATTTAGGCTTAAAAACAGTAACTTTTCCATCAAGAGGGGCGTAAATGGCAGCTCTGCAGCACATCCTTTCACTCTACCTGACCTTAAAAATCTCCTTGAACAGGGGCAACAGGACTTCCAGCATTTTAGATGTTTGCATTTAAAACAAATTGGTCAAATCCTTAACGACCAACTCGGTTTGTGAGGTCAAAAGGTCAAGGTTCCTTAGGCCAGCATTTAGAGGCATCATTATTTATTTTATAATATATATTTTTATATATTTATTTTTCATATCATATTTTTTATATTATTTTTTATATGTATCTATATTTCAATTATTACCTAAAATTATTTAAATAAAGCAACTATTTAAAGTTTAAGTCAGTCTGAAGCACTTCTGTTTTTTTCTGGGTCTCTAGTTAAAAACTGAGCGTTTAAAGCTCATAAATAACAGCAATTTAAAGGTTTGGTTGGCCTTAAATGGGCTTAATGATAATGAAAAGTTAAATTAAGTATAAAATGAAAGTCTTTGTAAACGTAAAACAGTTTTAGGGTTAGACACTGGTTGGTGTGACACAGCTGCAGGACTCAGAGCTTTTAAATCATCTCCATGTTTGTCCACAGCAGTGAAAAGTGACACCAAACCTGCACTGAGTTCTCGTGCACCAACAGCTACAGCTTCCTCTCACCCACCTGTGGAAGGAAAGATTCAGGACAGCCGAACCAGGAAACCCTCCGAGGATCAGACGCAGTTTCACACTGAGGCTGAAAACCGAGAGCAACCCAGAAAAAAGGGCGGCTTCTTCTTCTTCCAGCGTCCTCAGGTATCCCCAGGAGCTAGCTCCTGCAGCGCGAGCACACCCCTCTGTTTCAAGGTAGTGACGTAACGGTAGGGGCTGTGAGTCCCGGCTCCTATTGGTCGAAGGAGCCCGTTAATCTGCTTGTCCCGCCCATTGAGGAACTCGATCGTCTAACAGGCTACTATGGCAGGCCGTTTTTACATTTATTAGAAGCGCTGTCCTCCTTGTTGATTATCAAATATATCTAAATAACTGTAAATATAGTTATCCTAAATTACATTTTTGCCAGCAAAAATGAAATTTCCGGACGCAAACAATATAATTGTACTAATAAGAATAAACTTTCTACGGAAGAGGATTAGGGCCACTGGAAAAAAAAAAAGTCAACTGATTTTTTATTTTTATTTTATTTCAGTATAGTATGGGGAAAAAGTCAGAATTCTGACTTTAATGTCAGAATTCTGACTTTTTTCTCAGAATTCTGACTTTTTCTCAGAGTTCTGAGAAAAAAGTCAGAATTCTGAGAAAAAAGTCAGAATTCTGAGATTAAAGTCAGAATTCTGACTT